GGATAAGCTGGGTAGGCCCATCTCCTTTTTAGGTAAAGCACAGGTGTGCAATAATTTCAACGCAGGCTCCTGCAGTTTCAGCGCCTGTAGATTATTGCACATCTGCTCCATATGTTTCAGGGCACATACCAAGACCATGTGTCCAGCCAGGTTGTCACCAAACAAATGACTAACCGACGTTAATATCGACAACCTGGTTTTTTATCTAAGGTCTCACCCCAGCGGGCACTTAGTGGATTTTCTCACCACAGGTTTCTCACAAGGGTTTCACACAGGCATAATAGCCATTCCACCAGGTACACTAGAATGTCCTAATCTCCAGTCTGCATGTTTAGACCCAGTCGCTGTAGACACTCTCATTTCCGCAGAAACCACAAACGGTTTCATGATCGGTCCTTTCACCTCTTCACCGTTTTCCTCCTGGCGCACTAACCCTATTGGTATTGCTATTCACAAATATTCTAATAAAAACGTCTCATTATCGATTTATCGGCACCGCACTCCTCTTTTGTTCCAAGCATAAACGCACTCATTCCAGCAGACGAATTCTCTCTGCAGTACGTCACCATCGACGACGCTATACAGTCTATCATGACATCTGGTAATCGACCCTGGCTCAGCAAAACAGACATCACTAACGCCTTTAAATTACTGCCCATACACCCTCACTCTGGCACTTACACGGTGTTAAATGGCGAGGGTATTATTACTTCTCAACACGACTCACTTTTGGTTCCCGAAGCAGCCCCAAACTTTTCGACATTTTCGCTGAGTCACTATGCTGGCTGCTTCTGAATGTCATCAGGTGTCACTCCGTTATTCACTATCTAGATGACTTTCTACTGATAGAGCCAGGGTCATCAACACCCACAGCAATCAATAGTACTACCGCACTTTTTTCCACACTTGGAGTCCCTTTGTCCCCAGCCAAAACTATAGGACCCACAACAAAGTTGACCTTTTTAGGCATAGAGCTCGATTCTGTCAAACTCAGAGCTAGCCTTCCACACGACAAACTTTCACGATTGAGAGGGGAGATAGACACGTTCCTGCGGAATGACGTTTGCACCAGGAGAGAACTTCAGTCCCTTCTTGGATCTCTGAACTTCGCCATGCGCATCATTCCGCAGGGAAGGTCTTTTATTTCCAGACTTCTTTGCCTGCTCCATGGAGTCCCGACTCCGGCACAGTTTCTTTGGACCCCCACGCCAAGGCTGACTTAGCTATGTGGGGGAAGTTTTTGAAAGACTGGAATGGTATCTCCATGTTTATCCCCCCTCTCTCCACCTCTTCACCCATCATCCACACAGACGCAGCAGCCAACACCGGTTTCGCAGCCATTTTCGGGAACCACTGGTTTAGGGGCCACTGGCCCACTGAGACGGATGCCTTGCCAGGATTCAGGGAGACCTCAACCCTATTTGAAATTTACCCCATTGTGGCGGCCGCACACACCTGGGGTCATCTCTGGTCCGGCAAGGCAGTAAAATGCTACTCAGATAACTCGGCAGCTTGCGATATCATTAACAAAGGGCGCTCATCATCCCTGACCATCATGCGGCTGATTCGCAAGTTGACCTGGCTGGCAGCATCCAATCAGTTTCACTTAGTATGTTCTCACATCCCGGGTATTCACAACACCGCCGCTGACGCTCTTTCTCGTTCTCGATTCCAGGCATTTTCTCAGGCACTCCCAGCAGCTCACCAACAGCCATCCAGGACACCACGGTTTCACGAACTAATATTGGATTAAGCACACTCTTGCTTCACGCTAGATCACTCACTCACCAAGCATTATCACCCAACACTGCTATCACTTACAATAGGGCACTTAACATATTTAACAAATTCACTGCAGAATTCGGGCTACAAGGTGACTTTTCTATCCAAACCATGGTGTCTTTTGCCTCTTTCTGCCACCTACACCTTAATCTGTCACACAACACCATTAAACTTTACCTCACCGGGGTTCAGCACCACAGCCTCACCAATTTTCCTAACAGCACCCCCTTTTTGTCTTCATACCCCATAAAAAAGGTATTGAAAGGTATATCAAAGGTTTCACCACCACTCGCAAGCACTAGATTACCCATAGACGGGCCTATCTTCAGGTCACTTAGCAATCTCCTTGACACGGCCCCATTTGATAGCCACACCAATACGGTGATAAAATCTGCCATATATCTCGCTTTCTACGGTTTTCTCAGACCTAGAGAATTCACAGTGATTTGTCAAGGAGATATCGCACGATGCCTTAAAACTTCACACCTCACCAAGGTAGAGGATCACTACCTCCTTTCTATCCCTACCACTAAAACCAACCGATCAATACATCCTACAATAATTCCTCTCTTCCCTACTGATAATGCCTGGTGTCCGGTGAAAGTTCTCGACCAACTACGGTCAACTCTTCACACTCACCTGCCAGACTCTCCGCTCTTAACATTACAAGGGCACCCGCTTACCACGGCAAAATTGATGTCTCATGTCAGAACTCTGTTATCTAAGCTCGGACACAACCCGGCTGCATTCTCCGGGCACTCCTTCCGCATAGGAGCCGCCTCAGCAGCCTCAAGCACAAACGCACCGGTCCACATCATCAAAAGGCTCGGGCGATGGAAATCCTCCATATATAACGCATATATTCCGCAACCAGAGAAAGAGCTTCGCCAAGCTTTCAGAAACTTGGTCTTGTAAAATGCAATAAAGTGTGTATTTTCTCGAATTTATCTTTTTGCCCTCTTTTATTTACAGGCCCACTCGTACGTTGGTTTCGGCACACCACAACCAACTTTGCTCACAGTTACTATCCATCACGTATTTAAATTCCGAGCACAAGTAGAAAGGCCATTAGGCCTGAATTTGTGGGAGGAGTAAGTCCCCTACTTAAGCTCCCAGCCCCTACTCACCGCTGCCGCTCAGCTGATTGTCCCCACCCACCTACACCCTGTTTTAACTACATTATCCTTGGTGGGCCCTCTTTTATTTACAGGCCCACTCGTACGTTGGTTTCGGCACACCACAACCAACTTTGCTCACAGTTACTATCCATCACGTATTTAAATTCCGAGCACAAATATATATATATATATATATATGTATATATATATATATATATATATAGTGTGGTGCATTTGTGACCTATTACAATTACTGTCCTGAAAACATTTGAAAACAGTAATTCTTTCATTGTAGTGTTTAGCTGTGAGAATACACTTATATTTAAACATTTAAATCACTAGAGATCACAAGAGCTTTGGCACTTACCGATCACTTGTCTGTTCTTGATCTTAGCTTCCCATGACAGCAGAAGTCGAAATAATGCAGAGATCAGAAATGAATCAACAAACAACGGAACAAGAAGAACATCCAAAAGAGGCAACAAAGCTGATGCATTGCCAATTAAAAAATAATTTCACTAATAAATTTATTTAAAAAATAAAGCGAGCAAAAATATTCTCAAAAAAGAAATTAAAAAACAAACAGCAGCTGGATGCATTTTGCATTCCTTTAAAGTTGGAAACTAAAACCAACTATTTAAGAAATGTAAAGCAGAAGAGGTAAAAATAGAGTTGAGAGACAATTTTGTCAGATTAGCTTTTTTTACTTCAGTTTTTTCTTTTGGATTTAATCCGCAAAAATTCTGAGTTTAGTTTATTATCCTGATACCTGAGACTAGAATAAAGTGAACAAATAACACTGAAGTAAAATCCAAAAATAGAAGAAAATATCAATTATGAAAAAAGTAATAAGAGATAAAAGCGGGGGCAGGGCCTGGGCATCATGGAGGCTGACTGCACATTGAGTGAGCTCCATAAACCACTCACTAATTAAACCTGAATTACAGGCAGCCAGCCTGCAAAACTTGCATAATCCAGCCGCATTTCACTTACGGAAGACCCGGGGGAGGCTCTAGATAACCAGAGCGACTTTGTATTTCTAACACCATAGTGTCCTTTTAAATTGTTAGGAATTTGTTTATTGACTTTTGATTCTTTGCTGTCACTGAAATATGATGTGTACTTAACTGCATCTACTTTTTTAGTATTTTCTATTCTACTTTTTTCTGTGTGTGTGAAGGGTGCTGTGTGTGTAGGGGGTCAGTGTGTGTATGAGTTGTGGGGGGCAGTGTGTGTGTGTAAAGGATGCTGCGTGTGTGAGGGGGGCAGTGTGTGTGTATCGGAGGTGGAGTGTATGTGTGAGGGGGCAGTGTGTGTCTGATGTGCATTGTGTGTGTGTGAGGGAGCTGTGTGGGGGGGCAGTGTGTCTGTGTGTGTGTGTGTGAGAAGGGTGTAGTGTGTGTGAGGGGTGCATTGTATGTGAGGGAGCTCAGTGTGTGTGGGGGGGTGCAGTGCATGTGTGAGAAAGGGAAGTGTGTATATGTGTGAGGGGTGTAGTATGATGGGTGCAGTGTAGGTAAGTGTGTGTGAGTGTGTGTGTAAAGGGGCAGTGTGTGTGTGTGAGGGGTGTAGGTTAGTTTGTGTGAGGGGTGCATAGGGTCTTTTCTGTGTGTAGGTAGGTGAGATCTATCTTAATGTCCCCCCTGCCTTTTTACCTTTTACCAGGAAGGGAGGACATAATGCTGCAAGCCCTGGTTGTCCCGTGGTGGCATGTTTACTTTACAGTAATCCTCCGGCTACAGGCTGACTCTCCTGTCCTCCTGTGAGCATAGCACTGTATCAGCCCTTCCTTCCCTCTGCTGGAACTAAGTGCCAGTAGGCCGGTGAGGGAGATAATTTCATGCCCAGCAAGGCCCTATGGGCGTTTTCTGCAGAACCCACCACCGCCCACCTGAAATCCCAAACCGCCAACTAGTGGGCAGTAGCGACCAGGTCTCCCAGGCTTCCCCAAACTCCAGCAACATCTGGAGAGCCGAACTACAACTCCCATGATTCTATGACTGAAAAAGATAGGCTGAGAATCATGTGAGGGCCAGAGGGCCAGAGTTTGGGGAAGCTTGGGACAGAAAGTCTTTTTTTTTATTGATACACTGTATAAAAGTTTTGTTTGCAACAAGAGCTATAGAAAACTGTCCCTGTCTAAGTTGCGAGAGAGGGGCAGGTAAGACAGTGTGATTCTACTTCCATAGGTCCTCTCACTGCATATCACTAAAGGAAGACATGCTATATTAAGGACAGCAGAGGCTAATAGGAGCAGCTTTCAAAGAGTTTATATCTCACAAAATTCTTAAAGTATATTCTGATGCTGTGGCAGAACTAATGTAGAGAGGACAAGGAATTTGTGTGGGCCCCCTTCCAGTGCAAGATTAGATAAAGGGAGATCCTCATCTGTCGAAACCACTCGCACAATGGTGTGCCAAAGGGTAATCCTTAAAGAGTTGTATTTGTGAGCAGTGTTCGTGCGTTTGAACGTAAGCATGTTTTGCATATATCAGTGTGGAATGCAGTGTAGTACTTCTATGTAATGTTTGTGTTTGAATGCAAGGGTGTATTTGTATGAAGTGTTGGCTTTTAAATGCAGGTGTATTTTTGTGTGTTGTGTTGGTGTTTGAATGAAAAGGTGTTTGTATATAGTTTTGTCATTTTAATGCATGAGTGTGTTTGTTTATAATGTTGGCTTTTAAATGCGATTTTACATTTGTGTGTAGTATTGGTGTTTGAGTGAAGGGGTTTGTTTGTGTATACTTTTGGAGTTTTAATGTAGGGGTGTGTTTGTATGTAATGTTTGTGTTTGATTGCAAGGTTGTACTTGCATGTAGTGTTGGCATTTGATTGCTGGGATGTGTGTACATATACGCATTCACTACCACATACGTACTTACACAGATACACATACACACTAACACACATACAGATACGTACACTGACACATACACAGATACACACACATATTGACACACAGACACACACATACACAGATACACACATATTGACACACAGACACACACATGGGCACATACACAGATATACACACACTGAGATACACAGATACACACTGTTAAAGGGCCGTAGCACCTGACCAGGCCCCTCATTTAGCAATACCCATTGGGTGACTAAGTGCATGAGCCACAAATGCCATCGAATGAAAGTGTCAGCTGATCTTTCTCAGTTAAAGAGTAAAGCCCTGCACCACAAGCTTAGCTCAGACAGATTACTCCTTTAACCCCTTAAGGACACATGACATGTGTGACATGTCATGATTCCCTTTTATTCCAGAAGTTTGGTCCTTAAGGGGTTAAAGAGATTCTGGCCCTAACCATTGCCCTAACTATAACATAGCCATAACCATTGCACTACTTTTAAAAGAATCATATTATTAAAAATATATAATACTGATTTCAGGGTCCTAGAAAGATCCATTGACCGCTCAACCTTTAGTCTGTAATTTAATATGATGAGCCCCATACACAAACCTTCTATTTTTAATATTATTTGATAGGGTCACTATAGTCAGCAGAACAACTACAGCTTAATGTAGTGGCTCTGGTGTCTATAGCTACAGTGTGCAGCACTCAGTGTTTCAGTGTTTTTACACTCTATATGGAGACACCGAATGCCCCCTACAGAGATGTATTGATTCAGGAGATGATGATTGGCGCACCGTGGAATTTTGCTGCGCATACACAATAGCCTCCCAATGCTTTCCTATGGGAAAGCATTGTGTTGGCTGAGATCATCAAAACTGATCACCTCAGCCACGGAGCAAGTTGTGGCCATCCTGAGTGGGACCTGCATGGCGTGGAAAAAAAGGTGAGTAAAAATGTCTTTTGATCAAACTAAGGGTTTGAAACGGGGAGGGGGGTCTATAATGCAGTCAAATAGCATTATAGTGTCAGGAATACATGTTTGTATTCCTGACACTATAATATTCCTCTACATAAATATACATAACCCACTAAATTAAAGTACTTCGTTTTATACAGGGCTTAGCCATTACTGCAATAAATAAACATCTTTTGAAGCTGTTAATGAGGGCCCTGAATATGGGTGTGGGTGCACCCCTTCAAGCGGTATCAACCTGGATCCTTGGCTAAACGTCAAAATACAGAAAAATGTAAAAAAGAAAAACTTGCCAAACAGTTAAATACTTGAGACCTTTCAGACTTGTTCTACTAGCATTCTTATCTGTCATAACAAAATGCTAATTTTGCATTCTAGATTCCATGTGCGATGAGTCGAATGTTTTGTCATTGTTTAGTTATGTGTGGTGATGAACTGGCCACTCCTCTTGGGAGAGCAGCTCAATCTGTATGTGAAGAACCAGATTTCCAAGTAGTAGTCTGGCTGAGACATGCATGCTGAAAGTGGCTTTTCACAACCCAAGCCACAGTAGAATTATGGCCGTGCCACTTCACGTACCAAGTGGATACATAACATTCATGGAGATTTCTGGACAGATTGGAGAATGAGCATTTTTCAAGGGCATTTACTCATAGTGGCAGCGATGATGGCCTGCTTGACATTTAGTTTATCAACACCTACAGGTAATTCTGGATTGTACTTACCTTGAAACATATTATTGTTTGCATGCGATTGGTAGCTCATCAATGACAATAGTTGAAAAAGCAATATATATTTAATTCTACTTTCAAAATATTTCACTAATTTTGAAGGGGAGATTAAAAACAATGAATTTTGTTTGTTTTACTGAAAAAGTGAAAAAAAAAAGCAAACGGACTTATACGTCTGCTGCTTTACATGCGCATTAGGGATGAGAATGTCCAATTCTCCGATTCAATTATCAACTAATTACCAAAATTGCTAAATGTGGGCAAAAACAAAACTGATATTAAATTTACAGGTACACCATCACAGTTTCACTATTTTATACTAGCTCTTGAAATCCATTTTGCAAGTGCTTACTGAATAAATCTCTACATCTCTACCTACAAGTTTGTGTTTATTGACTAAAACCCTAGGTCACATGATTATTAATTAAACTATGAATTGTAGATAAAGGACCAGTTTGTGTATGGTGTGAATTTGAATTTCCCTGTTAAATTCCTCCTAGCTTACAGTTTAGCTAAAATCACTGTCTGTGTTTATTGCCTCGTAATGTCCTGGGGATTCCTACCACTTGTTGGGGCTCCAAGATTACTAACCCTCTATATCTTGAGGAGTTGAAAACTTTTGAGGTTAAACCTTTTATGGGTCAATAAACTGGGCATGTACTGACCTTGGGCATATTTTGATTGGCATCTCCTGACTCTATAATTTAATTATGTTCCACCCAACAGATTATTGGCCTCTACCCAGTATTAATGAAGCCCAATAGACAACCCTTTTTAATTATTAGTGCTAGAGAACGCTTATTGGATCTCTTCAAAGTGGGAGGGAGCCAAGCAGTTCTCTAATGAGCTCTTTAATTACATTCTGCATTAATGCTCTGAACTGCTGGAGCTCACCAGAGCCAATACAGAGGTTACGGAGCCAATACAGGGTTAAATCTAGGTTAAACCAACAAGGTTTCGTCAAAGTCTCTAACATTCTTGGTTTAAATTTTGCTTGTTGGATAAAAAACAGTGCTCATCTCTGTTTAATGAATAGACCCCTTGATCACAAAGCTACAAAGCTTCTGTTTTGGCAAAGTAAATGGGGGAAGGGGAAGTGTTAACAAGTTAAGCCAGCTTTTTAGTTGTCAGACCATGTGGAAATCGTAGCAACTAAAGTATGACAAATGGAATTTTGAAACTATTTCCTGTTTTCATGATGATTCTGTATATGACCCATGCAGGGTTGACATATTTAAAATGTTTTATGGATATTTTAAAGTTACATAACATTTTTATTCTTACTCTTTACTTATATTTTTATAGTGAAGCACAGCTCTGAATTTCAATTAAGTTCCATACTCCTAAAACAGTGTCAGAAGACTTACAGGGTAATTTACTAAAGTGAGATTTCAAAGTGAATTTCAGGTTTAACATTAGGGTTAACATTATCAACCTGATTTAAATGTGTCTGCAAAAATGCAAAGTTGCTGAATGATATTAATGTACTTTAAAGGACCACTAAAGTCAACAAGAACACGTAATTGAGATGAAGTGCTCTAGGTCAGTGGTCTCCAACCCAGTCCTCATCGACCACGAACAGTCCATGTTAGTCAGTATCTCCATTGGAATAAAACAGGGATATACATAAATCCTGGGCTGTTGGGTTGGAGACCACTGGTGGTCTAGGTGCAGTGTTCCTGGCTGTTTAATCCTACAAGGTAAAACATTGCCTTTTGCAGAAAGAAAAATGTTTATAGGGTTAGAGGGATTTTATAGTGTTAGGAATACATTTTACATTGCACTACTAAAGGGGACAGGGGCACAGCACCTAGACCACTTCAATGGGATGAGATGATTATCTGGGTGCCTATATTGGCCCTTTAAGCATGCCTCTAGTGCAGTGGTTCACAACCCAGTCCTCAAGTACCCTCTAACAATCTAGGATTTAAGGATTACTCAATTGTGCCTAAGGTGTTTTGGGGAAAAAACACTTTAGACACAACAGGGTGTTTCCTAAATCCTGGACTGGTAGGGGGTACTTTAGGACTGGGTTGGGAACCCCTGCTCTAGTGGCTGTCAAACTGGATTCTATTCAGGATAGTATGAAAACACGTGGAATATCAATTCTCTCAGTGATGGTCACAATGCTAAACAAAAAACAGTGTATCACAAATGGTACAACAAACATTCACAACATATCAAAGTTTAATCAGTTCATCAGCCGATACCTTAGGGTTGGGTTAATCTTCATAGCAAGAAAAATACGTTTGTGTGTGTGTGGTATGATAATTATGGGTTCTGTGAATTAATGCAATTAAACAAAGCTAATGGCAAAACATAGTGCAAGGCGTGCTAATAAACCCTTTACTAATAATTTCTTTACAAAATATGGTGGCCGGTGCTGATATTGCAGCACATTGTCTTCAATGAAAAATACCGGCAATTGTATTCCGCTATTTTTGCAATACCGGCACCTGCCACAGAGCATCAAATACCATCTGTGCCAGTAAAATACGGGCCAGGTGGCAACCCTGGGCATGCAGTCTGGATCACTGTCTGTGCAACCTTGCATTCAGTCAGAGAACCATTACAGAATTATTTTTTGAGTGCTTGGACTCGTGCAGGACTGGGGGGAGCATTGACGGCGATCTGCGCTTGATGGATTGCCAGGGACCACCTCTCGGCATTGAAGGTTAGCACTAGGGGCTAGCAATAGGGAGGGGGGTGATGAATGTTAGAAAAAAAAAACAGTGGATGAAAGCAGAGAGCCACCTCAAATGCACATATAGCTTTTGGCAAAAAATACACTTCCCATCACACACAAGCAGTTACACATACAGTATGTAACACTCAACACACTTTACATAAACTAATGAAAAATGCAGATTTGGGAGAGAAAGAAGAGACCGGTGGACGTGGGATGTAAAAACTAATGGAGAGGGTGAAATTAAGGAGGCGAAATAAATGGGTAAAGGCTAAAAGAAGATGTTGCATACACAATGGGGTGACACCTTTTTTTTGTGCTAAAGGGGTACCATCAATTTAACATGGTGGACAGTGGTGGACAGTCTCCAGGACTTCAGTATGTAGACAAAATAATAGAAATCGATGGGAGACAACGCTGATCAAACTTCATGTGGATATCTGCAAGGTTTGCTATACAGCAGACACTCATAGTACCTTAGATAATCACATGTAAGTCACAGTAACATAAATACACTTTTCCTTGGTAAATCTTCACTGACTGGGGGAAAAAAACAGCTTTAGGTTCTTTTCTGTTCCCACCCATTGTGTGTGATGTGCAGCCCTGAGCCAGGAAGCCCCTCATTTGGCCATCTAAGGAGTGGCCACTTGGAGGTGTCCCTAGGAGCAATTTAAACCCTGCCTTTTCTCTGAAAAGGCAGTGGATACATGAACATGCCTAAAGTGAGCGATTATACTCACCAAAACAACTACATTAAAGGACCACTATAGTGCCAGGAAAACATACTCGTTTTCCTGGCACTATAGTGCCCTGAGGGTGCCCCCCTGCTCTGGGGAGAGGAAAGGGGTTAAATCTTATCTTTCTCCAGCGCCGGGCGGGGAGCTCTCCGCCTCCGATCCTCCTCCTCTCCTCCTCCTCTCCTCCCTATCGGCTGAATGCGCACGCGTGGCAAGATTTACAATGCTTTCCTATGGACGCTTGCGTGTTCTCACTGTGATTTTCACAGTGAGAATCACGCAAGTGCCTCTAGCGGCTGTCAATAAGAGAGCCACTAGAGGATTTGAGGGCTGGATTAACCCATTTATAAACATAGCAGTTTTTCTGAAACTGCTATGTTTATAAAAAAAAATTGGTTAACCCTAGCTGGACCTGGCACCCAGACCACTTCATTAAGCTGAAGTGGTCTGGGTGCCTAGAGTGGTCCTTTAAGCTATAGTTGTTCTGGTGACCTCAGTGTCCCTTTAATACACTTTTGTCAACTAATACATGTTGTGTTCTTATCGTCTGCCCTGTGTAATAGAGACAACGCAATATGATCTGTAAATGATACGTTAGCGTGATTTAAATTGCAATTTGCAAAGAGACTTTCAAATATGGCATGCTACTCTAGTCCACCTTAACTGCAAACATTTTTTATTTTTTTTTGAGTACAAAAAAAATAATGTCTTTCTATGGAGAATAAATTACAATAATGAGTTTAAGCATATCATACCATGCTGCTGGGTGAAGCATCTCAGATTCCTCAGGGCAGGGAGAAATCTTGGAACGTCACTGTAGTTTATCTTCATGACTTTGTTGATGTCTCTCCAGAATGTAGGTATTCTTCTAAACCACTTGAGTCCACAAGTGGAGTTCTTTGGTCTATAATGTCCATGAAATAGCAGGCCATCCATGCATGCCAGCAGGGAAAATGACTGAGAATAATGAGTAGGACATTTGTGAATAATGTCCAGATTTTGTAGTCTGAATTATTCTGGACGTTCCAATGAGTTTTTAAGAGTTTATTGAATAATGCTGCAATACTAATTATTGCAGTGCCTGCACATCTGAACTTTAATGAAGTGAAAACACTGCTCGACAGGGGATTTGGGGCTCTCAGTGCAATATATGGAAAATTTCACCCAGGAGCCATTTGGGGCTCCAGCCTAGGTTGGCGCCACCTGCACTTAATACATATTTCTTGAGGAACAGAAGTGCATACAGTGAAATGCTTGTTCTAGTGGATGTTGCGACTAGCAAATTATTATTGCACAATTGGTACAAGCAGGAGAAATGGCAAAGCTTGAAAAAACAGCACAGGATAACAATCTATGGCAGAAATGATTGAGTGACCAGTGGAAATTTTACTTTTTGTTTCCATACCAGCATAATTCACTAATGGGAGAATTGTTTAGAATTCAAAGTGAGTTGCAAACATATGCCAGTATGTCAGAATAATTCATGTCTTGTAAAAACAATCATGAGATACTAAAGGAAAGCTTAAGTGTTAGGATTAGGAATACAAACCTGATATCCCAACGATTTAGTGTCCATGTCCTTGTTTAAAAACAGGCCCCCTCCCACCCATTTACCTAATATAAAATATGATTTTACTTAGGTTTTTCCAGCGCCGGCACCCTCTGTGCTGGTTACCTCTCCACCTTCCACAACATCACGGAGGAAGCATGGCCTCCTCCATCGATGTCCAATCCAATTCTCATCATAGAGGAGCATTGGGAACCCCACGAGCATGTGCAGCCAGCACCATACATGCCATCAATCTTACCAAAAGGAAAGCATTGAATTAATGCTTTCCTATTGGGGCTTCTGTGTCACGTGACCGAGTTAAATGAGGATCTAACCCTGCATTGAGATTAAGTGTTCTGGGTGACTTTAGTGGGTGGCTTTAGTGGTCCTTAAGCCTAATCAGGGATTGGGATAGCAGGTAGCCATTATATTCCAATAACTTAATAAGAAAATTTCAAAAGTAAGTCAAGCAGGTTAAAGAGCAGGATATGACTCTCATACACAAAATTGAAACAATATGCAAAACCCATGAAAGATTTGGTTCTAAAAGGTATCTGCATGATACGCTGAGTGCCATTTATTACAGTGTCTCCTGCTGGGATACACACATGCAGAAGCTCATTAGTGCCTAGAGGTAAAAATAATAAAAGTAATCCTTATAAACTTGTACAGAGCCCTTCAGAATTCCTCAGCTTACCTACAATGACAACTACAAGCAAAATGTCCATGTGACTGTGTTTTCCCAAACACAGTTCGCTGTTCGCACATGCCATTTACTCTCTGCTCATTTTAATATCTTATTCCTTCTTTCTTTCATTTATAGGAAAATCAATGATTCCTGCCCCTCAGAACATCTCTTTGACGTCCATCAACTTTAAGCACATCCTGACATGGAATCCCTTACCAGTGGAGTGGGGAAACGTTACCTACACAGTCAGGATTCAAGGGTAATCATCTAAACTATGTAGGCCGCAGACAAAGTTTCATTTGAGAAATCTGTTATGTGGGCTTAAAATAGAATGCCCAATGAATATTGTCGTAAAGCATTTGTTGAGAGCTTGGTAGAGTGCAATTAAAAGTAGAATTATTTATATAGTGCCAACATATTCTGCACCACTGTACAATTGGTTAAAACAAAAAGCAATTCTAACAAAACGAATTCGACATCCAGGAACATTCGATGAAGAGGGTTCTGCCCAATTAAGCTTAAAATCTAAAAGATGGAAGTGTGAATTTTAACTTTTCTGTGAAAATCTAGCCAAGTAAAACCATATCTCATAAAACATGACCAAGCTACTGTAAGTATAACAACCCTAAACATAGTGCTTAAATATATGCTATCCAAATAGAGAAAAAATATTATTACACAATAAGGAACGCACTATTGAGATAACAAGGAAACCACAACAGGGAAATGAACAGATGGAAAGCTCAAGTATTTATAGGTTTGGGCACGTCTCCCAGTTAGCCAAACCCCTAAAACACGAGTGTGTGTCGGCAACAATGTGATGTTGTTCCAAAATCAAAACAGGCACCTTACTCCACCCATAAATAAATATTCATCAAGTATTTTTTTAGGGGAGCCAGTCAGCACTATATTTGTTAAGAACATTTGAGACAGAATTAGTAATAACAGACAGAGCTTGTAGTCTGATAAAAATAACGTGTTTTACTTTGCAAATATTCTTCTGCAAGTATTCTTTTTCACAAAAAAATATTTGTATGAATATCACTGAGCATCCACATTTTGTACCATTTTTCTAAAAGATGACTACAAAATTCTGTAAAAGAAGTTGAAGTTAAATACGCTTTGAAGGTGCCTCCCCTGAAGTAGGTGGGGGCTAATATCTCCTTCTCAGGTTCAAAGTATCACCCAGCATATAGGTGTCATATTAGATATCCTATATTAAAATTGGCTAACTTGGACTCAGAAAATGCTTAATGCTTAAAACGACACTTAAGACCATATATGCCCCCTCCTGATCAGTCTCTCCTAAATCAGTCTGTTCTTTCTACTTCTCGGAACTTATCTGTTATATGTACATGAAGTTCATCCCTAGGTCTTATCTGTACTCCTTTTACCCTTTCACTCCCTTCCTACTATTGTCCTATGAGTATTTGCTTGTAAGCACTTACTTTTTAATGTATAAAAACCCAGCTGACGAATAAACGGCAGAGGCTTATTTTGAACACCAACAGGTGTCTGGTGTCTAATTCGCGCTCCTACAAGTGCACTTGTAATAATAATTTGGGCCTCCTCTGAATATAACAAAGATCAATATTTGGATCTATATCAGTGGACATAGATGAACTACACACATCTGAAGAGAAGGCACAGGCACCCAAGCACCAGTGAATGTTACCCAGTTATGCTCTTACTTGGGTCTATTCCCTCCAGTGGCCATTGGAGTAACTAAATGACCTCCATTTGTTTAAATATACATAGGGATTAAGGAGAGAGGGCAGGTAACTTTTTCCCTTTGGTTTTTACTATATGTATTAGCTGATGTGCCCAGGAGTGATGGGAGTGAGAGCAGGACTTATCTTTTTGTATTTGTACTTACTTGGGTCTAGCCTACTATTACCATAGGTTCTTCACAAATTTGTCTGACTTACTATACCCCCTTCATCACATTTTGAATGCCAAGGCACAATGGGTGTGGACACCCCTCTGTGATACAGCATTTAAGAAAACTAAACATTTGATATCATTCTCCAGAGTGTTGGTATACTATGATACTGAGAAACCAGTTACTTGTGAATTTTCTTCCTATGGGCTGGGGGCACATACTCCAACACAAATAAACAATCATATAAAGGGACAGAAACACTAATTGACATGGGTAGACAGCATATTCAGTGTTATTCTCTGTTTCCCCTGTGCAACACCTATACCATACAATATCACTCCCATCAAGATGATGCTAACACTTTTCCAGGTTACCTATGGTACAAGGATTGCACCAGGTGGCACAAGAGACTCAACTTCTAGATGTCCTCACTTTGACAGCAAAAGACATCGCTCAAGTAGTGGATTTAGATTTCTGTTTTGCCAGTTATGTTCATTTATACAGCATGGCTGGCCACGTACTGTGCCTTTAGGGTTCCAACCATCATTTCGCAGAAAGTGTAAACTAGCAACTCAGGGGAACTGCAAAAGTGGAAACCTTAAATTCCCAGATCTGAAATTCCCAAGCCATTTGACCATTCAGGTTAGTCTTATGTAAAATGTAATTGTATTTGCAATTAGATCCTTTTTCACTGTGTCAAACAGCATGGAACACGTAATTTGCTATGAGATTGGTTGAGTATTGTTCCTTAGGGGAATGCTATTTGAAGGTTTAAATAGGGACAGGGCCACCATAATGGTACATTTTCACATATATATAGCAATTATCAATATATATAATAAGTAGTGTAAAGATAGCACTCCAAGAACTTCAGAAATATGGTGAAAAAACTTATCTTTATTCAGGCATCAGCCTAGGTGGATCAACGTTTCAGTTCACTAATGGAACTTTCATCAGGATACATATATATATGCTCCTGCGGGTCCCCGACTGCCTGTATAGTGAAGAGGGGGTCTAGCACAGATGATTTTTGGCTTCTGGCAGCTCCTCTCTCAAACTCTCATGAACCCCTGGTGAGCACACAGGTTACCATGGCAATGCTACATACAACACGCAGACCAGGCTCACAAGAGTTGGAGAGAGGAGTTCCAAAAAGCTGAAGATTGTGTTTGCTAGAGCAGAATTGTTGGACTCGTATTGGTTCTTGTTTAAGATGGAAATATTTTTTTCATCTCTCCAGAGAATATGAGCGCTACCATAAGAAGCATGATTGGATAGAAGCTGAAAATTGTCATTACATCTCTGTCCCTTTCTGTAATCTGAGTAAGGACATTCCTACCAACGTCCTGTATGAAATACAGGTTCGAGCAGAGCTGGAAAACAGGACATCAGACTGGGCCCCACTAGGCTACCTGTTTCGAAAAAATTCAAGTAAGGAACTTCAGAAAGAAAATTCTGCCTCTCAATCTCTCATTGTCTAACTGATGAACAGAGCCAATCCACTATCCACTATTATCTTTACTAATTAAAACAAGTATTTACGATAATAGTTCAACTGAGAAGATCACAAGATTCCTAAATACATTTTGCTGTATCAAAACTCAAGTGGAACTCAAGTGGAATAGTCTACTATTATACTTTAAAACTCTCTCTCTCTCTACATACAGTACCTCACAAAAGTGAGTACACCTCTCACATTTTTGTAAATATTTTATTATATCTTTTCATGTGACAACACTGAAGAAATGATACTCTGCTACAATGTAAAGTAGTATGTGTACAGCCTGTATAACAGTGAAAATTTGCTGTCCCCTCAAAATAACTCAACTCACAACCATTAATGTCTAAACCGTTGGCAACAAAAGTGAGTACACCCCTAAGTAGAAATTGGGTCCAATAAGCTGTTTTCCCTCCCCGGTGTCATGTGACTCGTTAGTGTGTTAAATTTGGTGTTATTGCCCTAACGCTCTCTCATACTGGTCACTGGATGTTCAACATGGCATCTCTTGGCAAAGAACTCTCTGAGGATCTGAAAAAAAGAATTGTTGCTCTACATAAAGATGGCCTAGGCTATAAGAAGATTGCCAAGACCCTGAAACTGAGCTCCAGCACGGTGGGCAAGACCATACAGCGGTTTCACAGGACAGGTTCCACTCAGAACAGGCCACGCCATGGTTGATGAAAGAAGTTGAGTGTACGTGCTCAGCGTCATATCTAGAGGTTGTCTTTGGGAAATAGACATATGAGTGCTGCCAGCTTTTCTGCAGAGGTTGAAGGGGTGGGGGGTCGTCTGTCAGTGGTCGGACCACACGCCGCACACTGCATCACATTGGTCTGCATGGCTGTCGTCCCAGAAGGAAGACTCTTCTACAGATGATGCACAAGAAAGCCCGCAAACAGTTTGCTGAAGACAAGCAGTCTAAGGACATAGATTACTTGAACCATGTCCAGTGGTCCGATGAGACCAAGATAAACTTACTTGGTTCAGATGGTGTCAAGCGTGTGTGGCGGCAACCAGGTTAAGAGTACAAAGACAAGTGTGTCTTGCCTACAGTCAAGCATTGGGAGTGTCATGGTCTGGGCCTGTATGAGTGCTGCCGGCACTGGGGAGCTACAGTTCATTGAGAGAACCATGAATGCCAACATGGAGCATGGTCCCCTCCCTTCGGATACTGGGCCGCAGGACAGTATTCCAACATGATAACGACCCCAAACACACCTCCAAGAAGACCACTGCCTTGCTAAAGAAGCTGAAGGTAAAGGTGATGGACTGGCCAAGCTGTCTCCAGATGTAAACCCTATTGAGCATCTGTGGGGCATCCTCAAACGAAAGGTGGGGGAGGGCCAGGTCTCTATCATCCACCAGCTCCATGATGTCGTCATAGAGAAGTGGAAGAGGACTCCTGTGAATCTCTGAACTCCATGACGGTGAGGGTTAAGGCAGTGCTTGAAAATAATGGTGGCCACACAAAATATTGACACTTTGGGCCCAATTTGGACATTTCCACTTAGGGGTGTACTCACTTTTGTTGCCAACGGTTTAGACATTAATGGATGTGAGTTGTTATTTTGAGGGGACATCAAATTTACACTGTTATACAGGCTGTACACGTACTACTTTACATTGTAGCAGAGTGTAATTTCTTCAGTGTTGTCACATGAAAAGATATAATAAAATATTTACAAAAATGTGAGGGGCGTACTCACTTTTGTGAGATACTGTATATCTATCTATCTATCTCTCTATATATATACAGCAGAGTCAAAAAAATTATGTAGTATTAGAGTTACTTCTGTCACATTCCCTCACTTTTCTCCTCCACTCATGCAGGTAGAATTCACGAGAGAGCAGGGTTTGCAAGATACAGAAACTGCTTCTGCACTGTATTGTATTTTTTGTGTGTATGGTCTATAAAGTTGGAACACCATACACTATATATGTATCACATAGATGGCACTCTTCCTGTATCTCTAAATTCATGCTTTATTGCTGTAATGATGGTAGTTATAAGTGCCGGTGAATCAGAAGGCATGCTTATTGATCATACTTGGTTGGTAACACAGTTTGTGTTAACTGGTAGAGTACTAACAAGTGTCTTGGGATTGAGAACAGGGACCTTCTGTATCTGGGGTGATATTTGTCTTCTTAACTACTTATGTGTAGGAAAGTGCCATACTAGAAGGAGTAGTGGAGGCTACATATCACAACGCACTTGCTCTTTCCTTGAAGTCACGAAAAGAGAAAGCCATAAAATTATTTTGGAATTGTATAGAAAACAAAAGAGAACTTTTCAAGATGAAAAAAGGGATTGTGGTGTGTATAGTCAATCTGGGCTTTACCCTGGAACAGGTGTCATGTAAAATCTACTACGATGAATACATGTATTCCTGGTCAAAATCCATCACTGTGAGACTATCTATTCCACAGACAAAATGTAGTAAGTTAGAAATTATGAGATTCAATGTAAAAAGAAGAGGTGTTTCTTTATGGGGAAGACAGGTCTGTGAATTCATTTATAGTGGAGTATGCATACTTTAAAATGCATATATTTCTTACATCATACTTTTCCACTATTTGTGGTCCTGTACGATAAGTGATTGCACAGACTCTGAGCTATGCTTTACAAGTAATTTATATTAATTGCCTCTATTAACCTTACATATATTTTGTTTATTTCCACAGCTCTTTTTATACCTCCAAACATAGCTCTTCTTGATGTAGGGCATAAGCTGATTATTGAAATTGAAAACATTGGTTCTTCCTTTGAGTACTATGCATTCTATTGGAAAAGGTCTAATAAAGAGCTAGATGTAAGTACAGTACGCAGTATACATGGGGCATAGTGGATGATTTTGGAGGGGGGGGGGAGGGAGGGCAATGCTTTCCTATGGGGAAGGCCTAATGCAGACACAGTGCTCGCTGTACATGCACGTTAGGCCAGAGGAGGTGGACTGTGACTCAGTGCTGTAAGTGGGTAAGTGAATAAAGATTTATTTATCCCTTTACATTGGTGGGGGGATTTCTTTAAACAGTTTACTTACTAGTAAACAAGTATTGCTTTCATTTACTAACAGGGCGAACTGACAGAATGGACAGCTTTTTTTTTTCTCTGACATATCAAACCTCCTTCTTATTTTTAGGTGAAGACTATGAAGCTGAATAAACACACAACATCTGTTGTCTTGACAGAAACTGACCCAAATAATGAATACTGTGCATATGTGGTGGCATATGCAGTTGGCCGAAACAGCAGTAGTAGCAATACAGCTTGCATTTTTGTGGAAGGTGAGTGAGAATTAGCCAGTAGAGGACTGGGAGCTTAGTCCCATCTCCACATTCAGTAAGCGACAGCTGAGGGGCTTCATATACTGTCTATATATTATCAGACAGGAACCCAGGCACTCTAATGTTCTCCATCCTTAATAGACGAGAGGTTTGATTTAATTAATGGTTTTGTATAGACTTGAACATGTCTAAGGAAGACCTGCTCAATAGTTTTCATAACTTAGACCCCATATGCAGTATGGTCCTCAATTTAATATTGTTGGGTAAGCTTTTCAAATGATTTTATATTTAGGATTTTTTTTTTTATATATATATATATATATATATATATATATATATATATATTGACATATTTTTTTATATATGATATGTTTTTTGATATTTTTATATTCTGGAAAATGTAATTTTATAAGTTTATACAAAAATATTAATTAATTTAAAAAGCTTATCCCACAATATTGAATCAAGGCCATTGTTGGATAATGTGAAAATATACACTAGTGTCCAAAGTGTTCGACATTTCGAAGGAAAAACTGATTCTATTGTCCTTTAAAATGGCATCAAAGATCAGAAATACAGTGTAGACACTGTTAATATTGTAAATGACTAGTGTAGCTGGAAACGGCTGATTTTTAATGAAATATTAGTGGAAAATGTGCCTGTTTCCTGGAGTAAGGCCATTTTGCAGAATGGTAAATGCTGTTCAGTATCGGAGGACCAGTGGCGTAACTAATGTAGAAAGGGCCCTGGTGCAAACTTTTTTTTTTTGGGCCCCCCTCTAGTGCAACAGTGGCCAAAAAGTTGTTCCCCATCTGTTGTACAATTCCAATTATGCTATGCCAGCTGGTAATCTACCATTTGCCTATTCTTGCAGGGTTGTATTTGTGAGCAAAATTTGTATGCTTGAATGTAAGCATGTTTTTGGATAGAGTATATGTGTGCATATAGGGGTTTATTTGTATGTATTGTTGCCATTGGAATGCAGTGGTGAACTTGTGTGTAGTGTTTGCGTTTGAATGCAGGGGTGTGTTTGGATGTAATGTTGTTTTTCACATGCAGGTGTGCTTTTGTGTGTAGTATTAGTGTTTGAATGAAGGGATGTTTGATTGCTTAAATGTATGTACATACACTGCCAAATACATGTATGCCCACATGGATTTACATACACTTTCACACACAGATAAACACATATAAACACATTGACACACACACACACACATAGATGCACCTTGACACATGCACACTCCTTGACACATGCGCACACGGACACAGATACACACACTGACATATGCACAACCTGACACACACTTATGCACACCTTGATACACACACACTGACACACAGATGCACACCCTGACACAAAGCTGCACAAATTCACACACATATACAATGACACATGAACACACACTGACACATAGATACACACACACACACACACAATCTGACACATACATGTTATAATTTTTTATTTTTGCATCCACCCTCCTGTTACCTTTTGTGTCCAGGAGTGTGACTTGCTTGGGGTCCTACTGGCTGAGGCTGATTGGAGCGATTCTGAGGCTCACTCCTGTATCTCCTGTATCTCCTGTATCTCTTCCTGCCTGTGCCACCTCCTTCGTCACTCCCACGTGGCACACTCTATATGAAGCTGGGAGAAAGTCACTTCCTTCCAGCGTTGCTAATATTACAATGGTATTATTGCTGAACAGGGGCCTGGTTGGGTACCGTGACCCCTTAAGAGGGCCCCTGTTCAACAATAATACCATTTGGTGCCATAAGTGCTTGGGCCACCTGATGGGCCCCTCCAGTGTGTGAGCCCCAGTGCCGTGCAGCGCAGCGGCTGCACCGCTAGTAGTTTCACCACTACGGTGGACGCAGACATGAGTTCCATGGTGATGTTAAATACATTGTGCTCCTTGAAGACCTGTCTGTATTTTTTTATCCCATCATGCCTATGCGTATGGATGATTTTTAATGACAAGGATATGTGCAATGAGTTTGGCAATTGCCTTTGCATGTGTTATTAAACTCTAATTGGCTGCTTAGTTGTCCATACGGTAAAGTGATATGTGCTCTCTTTGTCTTCAAATCTTTATAGCGCAAAAACTCTCCAAATTTATTATTGGTATCATCTCCTTATTTGTGGCCATCGCTGGACTTGTGGTGGTTTCTATACTAGTATGGAAAATATTTTACCTGTTGCGGTTTTCCTACTTCCCAAAAGTGGATATTCCAGAAGCACTGGTAAAAATACGTTACCTTATCAATTTATTTTTGTTGTTGTTGATTCACTTACTGCCTGTTCTCTATATGTATGCTTATATGCTATGAAAATAGTAATATGGAAAATCGTCAAATATCTTGCATGTCACAAGGAAGACAATATGTGCTTATTGTTAATTAACACTCCAATCACCATCACCACTACAACACACTGTAGTATTTATGATGCCAGAATGGCCTTGGTGCCCCAATGCCACAGTAGAAATGGTTTGTCTTTTCATCTTGGGTCTACCGGATGCTTCTTCCCGCCTCTTTCCAGGTACCATGAAATCCAGAAGCTTCTGCATAGGAGCTTGCTTAGGTCTCCTGAGTTAAGTCCTGCATTGCAGAGCCGTCTCATTGGCTAAGAGCACCAGCTGATCACAGCTAAACAATGTGCTAAACCCTACACCGCCGGTAAGAATCTTTCTGGCTGTCCTGCAAGCTCTACTGCAGGCAGGGAGCAGTGCCCGGCAGACCACAGGTAAGACGTCAAACTGTTCTAAAACAGTTCCAACTCAGGGTCCTGTTCAGGAATCTCTTCTATTTAACATGTTTACAAATGACAGCCAGAAACATTCTTACCGGCGGTGTAGGGTTTAGCACATTGTTTAGCTGTGATCAGCAAAGTCATATTTCAATGTTTGTAGATTACACAAAACTCTGTAAAGTAATACAATGTGACAACATATTACTTAGCTGCAAAGGGATTTGGCTAGATTAGGGCACTCAAATTGCAGATTACATTTAATGTAGAAAAATGCAAAGTTATGCACTTTGGAGTAAGAATTCACAAGCAGCTTACACCCTAAATGATAGCGAATTAGGGATAACAACAAATGTCAATCAGAAGTTGCTAAGGCCAGTAAGGTATTGTCAGGCATAAAACGGAGCATTAATTCTCAGGATGAGAATATAATTTTGCCTCTTTATAAATCACTGCACCTTGAATTTGCTATGTAATTAGGGCACCAGTGCTGAAACAAAATGCAGATCTTCACTATTGTTGTTTCTGTGAGTGTGAGATGAGGCCTGAAGAACAGCGATGGAGATGGCACAGTTATATGAAGGTATTTACAGCCGGGAAGAGCAAAGAAACAAGGGGGAGGAGTAGAGTAGCCATGTGTTGTACACAATTGAAAGGTTTAACAACCACATTTTAACACCTAAAATATTAATAACTGTGTACATGAAATATTGGTCAGAAACATTAAATGACAATGGTAAAAAACTGCATGCACAATAAATTACAATGGCAATCTACAGGTATAATTGGAAACAATTCTATAGCAACACATTATAATATAGTAGCAAAGTAAGAATAAATGAAGTGATGTATCTTCCAAGCTTCAGTCAGTACCTGGAGGTTGTGGGAGTTGCTGCAAGATGTTAAATGCAGAGCTTCATTATTGGTGTTTCTGTGAGTTGCAGCAAGATGTTAAAGGGACACTATAGTCACCTGAACAACTTTAGCTTAATGAAGCAGTTTTGGTGTATAGAACATGCCCATGCAGCCTCACTGCTCAATCCTTTGCCATTTAGGAGTTAAATCCCTTTGTTTAAGAACCCTTGTCACACCTCCCTGCATGTGACTTGCACAGCCTTCCATAAACACTTCCTGCAAAGAGAGCCCTATTTAGGCTTTCTTTATTGTGTTTAATTAAGATTTTCTTATCCCCTGCTATGTTCATAGCTTGCTAGACCCTGCAAGAGCCTCCTGTATGTGATTAAAGTTCAATTTAGAGATTGAGATACAACAATTATTTAAGGTAAATTACATATGTTTGAAAGTGAAACCAGTTTTTTTTTTCATGCAGGCTCTGTCAATCATAGCCAGGGGAGGTGTGGCTAGGGCTGCATAAACGTAAACAAAGTGATTTAACTCCTAAATGACAGTGAATTGAGCAGTGAAATTGCAGGGGAATGATCTATACACTAAAACTGCTTTATTTAGCTAAAGTAATTTAGGTGACTATAGTGTTCCTTTAAATGCAGAGATTCACTATTGGTGTTTCTGTGAGTTTAAACAGCAACTGGAAGAATACCTGCAAAATATAATATTTAAGGATATACTTTTTAAATTGTGGGGTACTAGCTTCTTGATCCAAGGATAAATCTGACTGCCATTCTGTGGTCAAGAAATCAAGATCAAACAGGAAACTTGTCCGCAAAGCAATCTGAATACAATATTCCGAACAGACGAACTGCATGAAATTAATAATAAAAAAAAAAATGTCTCCAATCAACTAATTGTATATGTTTAACACCTTAAAAACTTTAAAAATTAAATTAAATCTTTCAGAATCCATCCTTACATATGCCCCTATAGAAACTCTTTGAACGTTATATCTTTGAAAACAGAACAATGCTTAGTTTTTCTAGTCTACAAAATAAATATAATTTACTGTTTAGAGATACTTTCCGCTACTTAAGAAGTAAACACTATTTAAATACAAAAAAAAAATATTTGAACATTCTACTTATGGTTATCTAGATAGATTAGGATCTAAGGGATTCATTACTAAATCTTCTAAGTTGTTTGAAGGAAAGTTGGACGCTCAAAAAATCCCTTCCGTTGTCAAATGGGAAAAGGATCTCAATTTATCTTATACCCCTTTCGAATGGTACCAAAATACTATCCAATTAAATAAATATATTCATTGTATTTCTTTGTTGGGACTACATCTAAAGATCATATATAGATGTTACTTGGTTCCTTCTAAGCTGCATAAAATATATGAAGCATATTCACCTCTATGTTGGAGATGTAAAAAAAGAGACTGGCACCATACTCCATATATAGTATAGTTATGATATATTAAAAGATATTAAAGACCGTATATCCTACATAACAATGAGGGGGGGACCTACTGTTCTCCTCCCCCGGCCCCCACCCCTAAGCGGTGGGTGGGGGGCCCTAAATAAGTATGAGGGGGGGGACCTACTGTCCTCCCCCCCGGCCCCCACCCCTGCGTGGTGGGTGGGGGCTCTACATAACAGAGCACTTTGATTGGATGGATTTCAAGCCCACCAATAAGAGTGTTATGAGTCAAATTACACAGCGTGGGAAAATTCCAAAGAACTTTCCCACCTGTGTAAAATGACAAAGAGCACTCTGATTGGCTTAAACCAACCAATCAGAGTGTTCTTAGTCTAATAAGCCTTCCCCCGCCCTGCAGAGCTCAGTCTGCGTGGAGCCCTCCATGGGTGAAGACGTTTGTTTGTTTTTAGCGTCTGATTTTTTCCTTTTTCGTCTGTTTTTTTTTTTTTGCACTCAGATTTTTTATTTTATTTTAAATTCGACGGGTATTATGGTTTTTTATTTGGCCTTTTTTGGGGCTGAAAATTTAAGATTTTAGAAGAAAGAAGACATCAAATGGTAAGTTTTATTTTAATTTACAGGTTAGTTATTTTATTCCCCCCTCACTATTTTTAGGGTGAGGGGGGTAGGTAAGGAATAACTTTTATTTGGGTGGGGGGTGACTAGGGGCTTGGGGACAATAGCCCCCCCCCTTATTTTACTTTAGGGCCCCCACCCCTGAACAATAGGTTTTTATTTGTTTCAATTTTTTTTTACAGTGAGCAGCCACTGGCTGCTCACTGTTTACTAGACATGCCCCTACTCGCGGTATAGCGAGTACGGGGCTGAATTTACTAATACTAAGTAATCTTTTAGTATTGGTAAATGTGGCTGAAAGACCAATTTAGGCCTTTCAGCCTTTTGGTAGATAGCTCCCTAGTACAGTGGGAATTAGGGAGTTATCTACTAAGCGGCTGCAAGATGCAGCCGCCGTAATGAATAGGATCGGAGTTTCATTCATTCGAATGAAATTGCGATACGAACAAAGTCCCGAATTGTGTTCTAACACGAATGGAGAAACTGTTCTCATTCTGTTAGGATGCAATTCGGCAGTTTTGTCAAACATTTGTTGATTGGCTGCCCTGCAGCTTTTCAAAACGCGCCATTAAATCGCCGAACACCGAACTCGAACCCGAACTGTTACTGAAATGTCCAGGGTCAAAAAATTGTATTGTTCGGTACGAACCCGAACTTTACAGTTCGGGTTCGCTCAATTGTAGCAACGCCACCACATCCGCCACCGTCCCCAAGCATCTCCACACAGTCCCATGGAAGCGTTCAGCTGTCGATCTCCCAAACACTGGAGAGAAAGAGGAAGTACCCCCTACCCACCCGCGATCCCTGGCCCAGAATGCCAGCATTTCAAAATTTGTGGCCTTTGAAATGCTGTCATTCCGTCTGGTGGAGACAGACAGTTTTAAAAACCTGATGGCAGTGGCTGTCCCACAGTACGTGGTTCCCAGCCGCCACTACTTTTCCAGGCAAGCCATCCCTTCCCTGCACAACCAGTTGGCGGACAAAATCAGGTGTGCACTGCGCAATGCCATCTGTGGCAAGGTCCACATAACCACTGATACGTGGACCAGTAAGCACGGGCAGGGACGCTATATCTCAGGGCAAATGTGGCAGCTGGGCCTTAAGCGGATAGCAGTTTGGCGCATGTCCTTCCACCACCGAGGATTGCAGGGCATTTCTCTTTGACTCCTGTTGCCTCCTCCTCCTCCTACTCCGCTTCCTCCCGGCCTGGTGGTGTGCGATAATGGGCAAAATCTTGTAGCAGCTCTGGGCCTAGCCAGTTTGATGCACATCCCTTGCCTGGCGCATGTGCTGAATTTGATGGTGCCGAAATTCCTGAAAAACTACCCAGATATACCAGAGCTGCTGCAGAAAGTGCGGGCCGTCTGTGCACGCTTTCGGCATTCTCACACTGCCGCTGCTCGCCTGTCTGCGCTGCAGCAGAACTTCGGCCTTCCCACTCACCGCCTCATATGCGACACACTCGCATATGCTGGAGAGACTGTGCGAGCAGCAGCAGCAGGCGATAGTGGAGTTTCAGCTGCAGCACGCACAGGTCATTCACTCTGCACCAGACTTGCCCTCCAATAGATCCTCGTTAAAGGATTTAAAGTGTACTCATTCCAATTACAGGGCCTCAAAAGAGTCCTGTATTGTTATTTTTTGTCACTACCTCCCCGCGTCGGGAGTGGGTAATTTGCGCTCCTGCTGCCTTGTTTGGATGTGGTAGCCGTTTATCAGGCTCCCTCTCTGGAATCGAACCCTGATTACCCGTTACCCGTGGTCACCATGGTAGGTGCAGAAAGTACCATCAAAAGTTGATAGGGCAGACATCCGAATGCGTCGTTGCCGTCACGGGGTCATGCGATCGGCCCGAGGTTATCTAGAGTCACCAAAGTGCCTGCGCAACAACTGCTGAGTTGCCCACATTCTGCTGATTACTGGGTGGCTACCCTGCTGGTAGACGCGTTTCTGAGGGCATTCCCAACTGACACCAGGGGCTCAGTGGAAGTACAAGGCGAAGGCAGAGGAGGAGGAAGAGGTCGCCAACGCAGCTGGGGCACCGCCAGCATCTCAGAAGGCAGGGTTAGCATGGCCAAAATGTTGAAAAGCTTTGTCAGCACGCCACAACAACCAGCACCACCAGCTGATATGGAACGTTTTAGCAGGAGGCAGCATTTCAGCAACATGGTGGAACAGTATGTGTGCACACGCCTACATGTACTGACTGATAGGTCTGCCCCATTCAATTTCTGGGTCTCCAAATTGGGCACATGGCCTGAGCTTGCCCTTTATGCCTTGGAGGTGCTTGCTTGCAGCCAGGCAGCCAGTGTATTGTCTGAACGTGTGTTTAGCACAGCAGGGGCGTTATCACAGACAAGCGCAGCCGCCTGTCCACAGCCAACGTGGACAAGCTCACGTTTATTAAAATGAACCAGGCATGGATCCCACCAGACTTGTCTGTACCTTGTGCAAAATAGACATTTATACTGGCCTCACCCAGCCATTGTTATACTCAAGTGCACTTATTCTTTGTTTTCTTTTTTTATATGTCCCAATATTTTGGGGGCTACCCCAATTGTTTGCAGGGCACTCTTACCCCCATTTTACTTCCTTTTGCAGCCTTCTAGGCCTTTCCAGGACTTTTTTAGAGCCATTTTAGTGCCCAAAAGTTCGGGTCCCCATTGACTTCAATGGGGTTCGGGTTTGGGGTCAAGTTCGATTCCGAACTTGAACTTTTTGCCGATGTTCGGCCGAACCCGGCGAACCCGAACATCCAGGTGTCCGCTCAACTCTACTCATATTCTCTATGCACTTAAGATATCTATAGCTCGTAATTGGAAATCAGATAATCTAATCAGAATAGATTATCAATATACAATGGACAAGTAGTTTTATAGCTGAAATGTATCTCTCACTGAGACTCATGGAATCCCTGGCTTATCTATAGAAATAAGGAAAATGTACTCTAGGACAAAAACAACAAAAAACCTTGTATATTTACTCCCCCCATACTCGACATCGGGCCCCGGATACTGCAGACTTTCATTATGTCTGTTTGTATTTGTATCTGTTTTTGTATTTGCCACAAAACTATGATAATACTGTGCTGATAATCTTTTGTATGTCTTTCATGCATATAAATATATCGCATGATTACTGTTGGAAAGGTCATTATAATTGAAAAAAATATATATATATATTAAAAAAAAGAAGGATTTTTTTCCTAGTTTTTTTTGCAAAATTGGAAGTGCTTCAAATTGGAGTTTTGCCTTCTTTTGGATCAACAGCAAAAATGAAGCTGTGAGAAAGGCTGAGCTTGAAGGACGCATGTATTTTTTCAGCCGATATAATTATGTAACTATGTAATGAAAATTCCTGAAATTCCTTCTTAAAGAACATTAGACTTGTGCAAAACCTGCTGAAACAGAGAAGATTTCAAACCATCCCTGTTTGTTGGCATGCTTAGATACTCTCAAGTAAGCTCCTCCAAACAGCTACCAATGAGGGAGGAGAGGCCCTGCAGAACTGAAACCTTTTACAGAATTAAAGAAAGACCCATATTATTTTGGCTTACCACCCTCCTCTCCATAAAATGAATCTTAGTGTTTCTAAACAACTGTAGATACATTTTCCCCCACATAAAAGCTTTTGGGGTGTGGCCCCTGGTGCCCCTATGGACAAGCCACCGCTGCCAAAGTGTGTGAGAGGTCACTGGAACCTATTTGTGCTGGAACAATTAGCCAAACAGGTCAATGGAGTTCTAGGCATCATAATACCAACTATAATACTATACTATAAGTTAATTCAAAGTAAATTTCATATTTTAAGAAAGATTGCTGAACTGGAAAATGTCTGCTATCCTTCTGGCTAAGTTACCTTTGAATTAAAAATTTACTCTAAATTTACTTTGAACTGCAGAACCTTGTTAATGTATTGTTTTAATATTAATTTTTAAAGTCTACAATCCTTGGTACATAGGAAGCCGGTAGTGGTACATGATGACTAACAGTTAACAGTATCCAATATGATTTTCACAGGATTCTTTCACAGCTAGGATTGACACGTGATATAGTATTATATAGTGTATTACAAATACTTCCTGGGAATCGAATAAACAAGTTGAGCATAGCTATGATGTCAAACAGCAGCTGGGTATTAACAGAAAATAATAGTTTCCTGTTACTGTAAATAGATTAACTTCTTACAGGATTCTATTAAGTCTCTTACTATTTTCCCTCTTTCTATCATTTCCTGCTCTTGATCCCTTTCCTTCCCCACCTCTCACTCTTTCTCCCTAAATTAAAATCAGCATGACCATTAACACAGGAACCAAAAAAAAATCTTGGGGGACAACTTGTTATGATAGCTATGTGCCCATTTAGGGAGTATAATGCCATGAATGGTTCAATAGCCGAATGCTTGGTTGTATAGGGAGAGGTATTAGCAGTAGAAAGAGGGAAGTGCTCATGCCATTGTACAGAACACTGGTGAGACCTCACTTGGAGTATTGTACACAGTACTGGAGACCGTATCTTCAGAAGCATATTGATACCTTAGAGAGGGTTCAGAGAAGGGCTACTAAACTGGTTCATGGATTGCGGGATAAAACTTACCAGGAAAGGTTAAAGGATCTTAACATGTATAGCTTGGAGGAAAGACGAGACAGGGGGGATATGATAGAAACATTTAAATATATAAAGGGAATCAACACAGTAAAGGAGGAGACTATATTTAAAAGAAGAAAAACTACCACAACAAGAGGACATAGTCTTAAATTAGAGGGACAAAGGTTTAAAAATAATATCAGGAAGTATTACTTTACTGAGAGGGTAGTGGATGCATGGAATAGCCTTCCAGCTGAAGTGGTAGAGGTTAACACAGTAAAGGAGTTTAAGCATGCGTGGGATAGGCATAAGGCTATCCTAACTATAAGATAAGGTCAGGGACTAATGAAAGTATTTAGAAAATTGGGCAGACTAGATGGGCCGAACGGTTCTTATCTGCTGTCACATTCTATGTTTCTATGCTTCTAATACGTAAGTAATACACTAACTCTCTAGGATCTAAACCTGAATAAACTACCTGACCTAATCTTTATTTTTATATATATATATATATATATATATGTGTGTGTGTTATTTTTTTTCCTCCCATTTTGTTTCCTCATTGAAGGAGCTGTATGTATGCCTCTGAGAGATTAGATTTGTTAATAAATCATTCCACTTACTGTAAAAATTACTGTAAAATGTAATGTCTCATCCTTTGACACTTTACTCACCTGTTGGCACAGTCAGATTTATTTAATTTAGTACATTCTACATACCTTCTAACTTTTAAAGCAGACAAACAGGGACACTTTAATTTTAGGGATGTGAATGGAGGTGTACCCAGGAGTGGGACTGTTCTGAGAAATAGTAGATGACTTGTTAATAACAATTTATGCAGCTAAAATGTAATTTAGAAGTACAATATATCTTATTTACACAGACTGATATGTAACATATTTATTTTAGTTTGAAGACACATTATTGCTGAGTATCTCCTTACACCAAAAATATATGGATCTCCTAGGAAAGAGGGCCTTTAAAATAGAAAAGAGGTACAGACCCGTTACTCTTATCCTGTCTGAACTTTCCCTTCACAGTCAGGGCACTGGCTCTTGGCCACTAAACGAACAGATACTCCCGAACCTTAGTTACTGTAATCAAAGAGGAGCTGTGGGTTTACTTTGACAACAATGATAACACAAATAGCATGATTGAATCTATATGGTTAATTATCTCATGGGGAAGCCGCATACATGCGGTCAAAATGCTGGTGGTCCCCAATTTACTATATGTTTTCTGAACACTGCTAATATAATAATATCACCTATCCTTCCTTCCTCACTGAAATGCACTGAAATATAATCCATTCTTACATCTGAGTGATGATGAGAGCCGGTTTTTCCCATAAAATGTTTCAGCAACCCTCATCTCGTGGAGGCTTGGAAGTCCCTGATGTGGGCTCATACCTTAAAGTGCCTAATTTTGCCCAGACTATTGCACTCCACGTCTCTAAGAAGACCCTTCAGTGAGTGGACATGGAGACATATCCTGATATCCAGAAGTCCTCTCCCCTCCTTTTGCATGCTTTGTGAACACCTAAACACTTTAAAAAACAGATTTTCGGTCCTTTCTTCATTACAAGACTATCCATTGTTATATGTGAATGTCATGCGTAGACTGGGCTCCTCTGCAGTATTCTCCCCACTATTGCACTACCAGTTCTATAGGTGGTTACCCCAGACCTGCACATAACTCAGTTTTTCCATTTTTCATGGCCTTCTAGACATATATATTATTACCTTCATCGTAAAAGTGTACTTTTAAAATGTGTCAACCTGCAGTGGCACAGCCAAATGACACAGCATCACTGTTATGTTATAATGCTCTTATGACCTAGCAGCCACACAAATCCTGGTATTATGCTACAGTGGGACAGGGATTGTGGGGTGGAGTATGATGTTGATCAGTGGATGAAGTTGCCTAATAGATTGAAACATAGAAACATAGAAACATAGAATGTGACGGCAGATAAGAACCATTCGGCCCATCTAGTCTGCCCAATTTTCTAAAAACTTTCATTAGTCCCTAGCCTTATCTTATAGTTAGGATAGCCTTATGCCTATCCCATGCATGCTTAAACTCCTTTACTGTGTTAACCTCTACCACTTCAGCTGGAAGGCTATTCCATGCATCCACTACCCTCTCAGTAAAGTAATACTTCCTGATATTATTTTTAAACCTTTGTCCCTCTAATTTAAGACTATGTCCTCTTGTTGTGGTAGTTTTTCTTCTTTTAAATATAGTCTCCTCCTTTACTGTGTTGATTCCTTTATATATTTAAATGTTTCTATCATATCCCCCCTGTCTCGTCTTTCCTCCAAGCTATACATGTTAAGATCCTTTAACCTTTCCTGGTAAGTTTTATCCCGCAATCCATGAACCAGTTTAGTAGCCCTTCTCTGAACCCTCTCTAAGGTATCAATATCCTTCTGAAGATACGGTCTCCAGTACTGTGTACAATACTCCAAGTGAGGTCTCACCAGTGTTCTGTACAATGGCATGAGCACTTCCCTCTTTCTACTGCTAATACCTCTCCCTATACAACCAAGCATTCTGCTAGCATTTCCTGCTGCTCTATTACATTGTCTGCCTACCTTTAAGTCATCAGAAATAATCACCCCTAAATCCCTTTCCTCATATGTTGAGGTTAGGACTCTATCAAATATTCTGTACTCTGCCCTTGGGTTTTTACGTCCAAGATGCATTATCTTGCACTTATCCACATTAAATGTCAGTTGCCACAATTCTGACCATTTTTCTAGTTTACCTAAATCATTTGTCATTTGGCTTATCCCTCCTGGAACATCAACCCTGTTACATATCTTAGTATCATCAGCAAAAAGACATACCTTACCATCAAGACCTTCTGCAATATCACTAATAAAAATATTAAAGAGAATGGGTCCAAGTACAGATCCCTGAGGTACCCCACTGGTGACAAGTCCAAGCTTTGAATATATTCCATTAACTACAACCCTCTGTTGCCTGTCATTCAGCCACTGTCTTACCCATTCAACAATATTGGAATCCAAACTTAAAGATTGCAGTTTATTGATAAGTCTTCTATGTGCAACAGTGTCAAAAGCCTTACTGAAATCTAGGTAAGCAATGTCTACTGCACCACCCTGATCTATAATTTTAGTTACCCAATCAAAAAAATCAATAAGATTAGTTTGGCATGATCTCCCTGAAGTAAACCCATGTTGTCTCTGATCTTGAAATCCATGTGTTTTAGATGTTCATCAATCCTATCCTTTAACATGGTTTCCATCACTTTCCCCACTACTGAAGTAAGGCTTACTGGCCTATAGTTGCCCGACTCCTCCCTATTACCTTTCTTGTAAATGGGCACAACATTCGCTAACTTCCAATCTTTTGGGACTACTCCTGTTAACAATGATTGGTTAAATAAATCTGTTAATGGTTTTGCTAGTACACCACTAAGCTCTTTTAATAGCTTTGGGTGTATTCCATCAGGTCCCATTGACTTATTTGTCTTTACTTTTGACAGTTGAAATAGAACCTCTTCCTCTGTAAACTCACGTGTAATAAATGACTCATTTATCCTTTTTCTCAACTGAGGTCCCTTTCCTTCATTTTCTTCTGTAAATACAGAAAAAAAAATATTCATTGAGGCAGTCAGCCTGGTCTTTATCCTCTTCTACATACCTTCCTTCTTTTGTTTTTAATCTAACTAATCCTTGAAGGGCATTACTTGGTGCTATAGCCACGTCGAGACACACAGGACATTTTTTTACAGATGATACTAGACACCATTTATATGTGCATGACCTTCCATTCCATCTTTTCCTTTAACCAGCAAGCCTTAGCAACTCATTTCATCTCTCAAATAGAAGAGCCAAAAAAAACCTCTATCCAAGATATAGTAGATCAGCCGAATACCAATTGCTCATATGATATTATGATTGCTCACGGAATCCCAACCACCACCCACCAGGTGGAAAAAATCTGGTCCCCATGGTAAGAACCCTACGGTACCCAAGGCATTTACACAGCCCGCAAAATTGAGTGCCCATTCAATTTACACTACGGACTGCACTGTTATAACCACTGTGAAGATACTTACCTTATCCGGGGGTCGGCTGGGGTCCTCAGCTCTTCTTTGTAACCGGTTCACCAGGCTTTATTCTCCCCCTCCTCCTGTCTCTGTTTATGGCCAGAAGGAGTATGAGGTGGCTGCTGTGCTTGTTTCCCCTCCAATACTTGGTCCATTGGAAGGGATATGGTGCAGAGGAGTGCAGTTGGGTTTCTGTGGCTGATATTCATGCCCCTTGCCTTCTATGTTCATTCCATTCCCGCTTTCCTGCCCAGCCTGGTTCTTCTCGCCCGGTGAACGTGTCGGTGGGGTGGGGGTGGGGGGGGAGGTACTGTGGCAGTACTTACATTATCCGGGTTCCTCCACATGAGACAGGCGTGGCTCGATCTCCTCTTCTGAGCGGGAGGCGTGCACTGACTGTGCACTGACAGTGAGCGAACACATGGCCCGCCTCGCACTAGGAGCGCGGCTCATGTCATGACTGCGCTCTTAAAGGGGCAGTGGGATCCACAAGTGGGTTCAGGTTCCCTTTGGCCCACGTCATTCCGGCACCCTCACACACAAAATTTTAATTAAAGGCTATTTAATCTTCCCTAGACCTACCCACTTTGCCCTATCGTGGTTTCTGTTTTAATACTCTTTAGTGCGTTCTTTGATCTATTGTGTTCATTCTGGTATTGACCTTGGCTTTGTTCCTGACTCTGAGTTTTTCTTTAACTCTTTCCTGTCTTGTTTGCCCGTCTGACTGATAACTGTGTACCTGACTCTGGCTAGTTCTCATTTTCGCTGTCTTTCCGTTACCCTGACCTTGGCTTGTCTCTGATTACGCTTTATCTCTGTCTGACGTTTAGACCGGCCATTCTAAGGCCCAGTAATTCATTATATCCTAGTCTTGTCCCTTGCTATGCTAAACTCTGTGTGTTGGGGTATTACACTGTGACATCCACTATGGTGACAACTCTGTGCTTGCTCCACTCAGTGGCAGGCTTGGAGTGCCTCGTGCCTCAGGAGGCTAATGTTATGTTGTGCCATACAATGTAGATGAGTCTAATGAGGCTATACAAAAAAACCAAACAAAAAAACCCCACACAATAAAGAAGAAGAAGAATTGAGTAAGACCTGAGCTGCTGCTGACACTATAGGAAACCCACTCCCTACTTATGAACAAATAAACATACAAAGCGTAAGCTGTGATAAAATTATCAATAGCTATTGCCTAAGTGGTTTTCCTGCTCGGAAAATATTTGCTGTTACAGTGAAAGATAAATTGCTGGATGGCACAGGATGTCTCAAGGAGAACATTGCCCATCACTGCCCCATAGTGGTAGGATTACAGATTGCTTTTGTTCAGGTGTATTCACTATCTCATTGATGTGTACACACACACACACACACACACTTTGATTTATTACATATTAACTATTCCTAATATTACCTATTATACAGGCAATATAAATAAAATATTGAATGATGCAATTTGGGTCACTTACAACTGAGCTTTCCCCCAGTCTTCTATTATTTAAAACAGCATTAATCTGGCATTGTAGCTTGTATCACTCTGTAGTTATTTAACTAGTATTTATATAGCGGCTTTCTCCCAGTGAAATTCAAAGCACTTTTTAGTGCATGCTGAATAATAATTGATGTTATTAGTTGTCTCCTTACTTTCTGGTAAATGTTAATCACTGTCTTTAAAGGACCACTCTAGGCACCCAGACCACTTCAGCTTAATGAAGTGGTCTGGGTGCCAGGTCCAGCTAGGGTTAACCCATTATTTTATAAACATAGCAGTTTCAGAGAAACTGCTATGTTTATAAATGGGTTAATCCTTCCCCCAAATCCTCTAGTGGCTGTCTCATTGACAGCTGCTAGAGGCACTTGCGTGATTCTCACTGTGATTTTCACAGTGAGAGCACGCAAGTGTCCATAGGAAAGCATTGATAATGCTTTCCTATGCAACCGGCTGAATGCGCGCGCAGCACTTGCCGCGCGTGCGCATTCAGCCGACGGGGAGGAACGGAGGAGGATCAGAGGAGGAGAGCTCCCCACCCAGCGCTGGAAAAAGGTAAGTTTTACCCCTTTTCCCCTTTCCAGAGCCGGGCGGGAGGGGGTCCCTGAGGGTGGGGGCACTCTCAGGGCACTATAGTGCCAGGAAAACGAGTATGTTTTCCTGGCACTATAGTGGTCCTTTAATACTGTCCTATAATTACCATCAATATTTGCTTATCATGCGAATGTCATACCTTACCATTCAACACTCAATTGAACTTTTCTATATAGTTATTCTCTACACAACGGGTTTGTACTTCCTAGATGTCACTTTTTAGGATGGACAGTCCATATAAGAGATACAAATTACTTTTTGTACCCAAATGTTTGTCCATTCAAACAGTATTTTTGAGTGTTTTATTGTGTAGCAAAGCTACACAGCAATAATTTTGCACTCATTTAAACTGCAGAGAATATGTTAGAAAATATATTGGTGTAGGTCACATTATATTTTGGATGTGTCCTAAAGTCAAAAGTGTCCCTCTTTAACTTTTTGCAATGCTGGGCAGTATATGAGTTCAACCAATACGAATTTAGGCTACCATAACCACTTTGTGTAATTTTTCCAGCTTGTCTAATTTAGTGACAAATTTCAATTATTTCTTCTACAGGTGATGACTGAAAACTACAACTCAAAAAAAATCTACAGAGACAGGACCCACAACGGTCAACACAGTGACGAAAGGTATCTACAGTGGACAAGGAAAGACCATGAATGTGGAAAATTATGACACCAAAGATATAAAGTATTAACTTTTTCCTAAACAAACCCAGCTAATAAGGCTGGATGGTGCCAGGAAACCCCTCGAGAAGAGGCTTGCTTTATATACAGAAGGTCCACAATGCACTGTGAGTCTCCTTGAAGAAACTTGTGAATGTTACTGAGTAAGTTTACTCCGTTTTACTGGGGTTTTTTGGACTCATACGCTTTGTTATGATGAATGGACTATGGTAATTGAGAGACATTGGAACGCAAGAATCCTAAGGTCACATGCTCCTGCATCTTACGAGAATTGTACCATTTGGTTTTGCATCTTCAGTATCCAGGAAATGGCATCAACTGCTACGGTTTCAGTATTCTTGTTTCAACTTGCTTGAACTTGTTCACTACCCAGCACGTTTTAATTAAAACATATTAGCATACCATTTACTTAAAGCAAGGGGTGCTTAGCTTGTATATAAACACAGCAATTTTATATAAAGATTGCTTTACAGACAAACTTAGAATTGTGTTTTTTTGACAGCAAAATTTTCTCACATACAATAAATCACAATGGTCAAATACCTTGCTTACAGGTTTTTGCAAGGATCTAGCAGTGCATTACTAGCAGTGCAGCTTACGGAAAATGTCAACATAATGTAAAATTTATATATATATAATATAATAGATCATTCAAATTTTGTCATAAAAAAATTAGAATTCAGTAGAATATTACTGTTTAAAGGAACAAAGCATTAAAACGATATATTTTTTATATTCCTATAAAAGACAAAACTTTATACAAGATGTGCACATTTAGTTTTTTCTTTGTCATAGAAAGACTGGTAACCAAAGATGTGTATTTTTTTGATACATTCACCTCACTTTGCACCCTTCTGTTAGCTTTACAATTCCTGTCGGTGGAGAAGAGTTTAATTGTCAAACTGTGAATTATAGTGATCTAGAAATTTTAGGCCTTCGTTGCCATACTTGAAAAATTCTCAAACCACAACTGTGGCGAAACCAACCTCGCCACTGTACACTGGAGAAGCCTGGTTGCTCGCCTGCTGCCTTTGTACTATGGCCCCATGTTAAAAGACATCTTTTTCCCTGCAGAAAAGACTTATTCGTGCTTTTCTGCCGGGTGTTCGGTAGATTTGTTTGAGTGTGTTGTACCCCAGATAGGAATCCCATGGAGCCCATTCGCATGAAACTGACTGTGTAAAGACTTTGGCTCCATGGCGTTTAAACTGTATTCGTGTGGTCTGAGCACCATTCGCTTAATAATGTGCGCTCAGACCTGAGCTATCTGGGGATATGTAGAACGTATATGTTTTATGTACTGAATGTAACTGTAGGTAATTTTATGTCTTTTACTGTTTGTTTTCTGCCATGTGGTTAATGGAGTTTTGCCTCTGTCTTTGGAGATAATTGAATTACTTCTCAATTATCTCCAGAGCAGAGAGGAGGGATTGTGATGCATTGTGGGATGGTTAAAATGTGTAAGTCTGTGATTGGTCCTTTTACCCTTTGTGTCCCAGTCTCCCATTTGGTCCCCTAGGGGAGTGTCCACCAGGTGGGAGACCTGCATAAAAGCCGGGCAGTTAGCCCCAGTAAATCAGTTCCTGCTTAACCCTCAAAGTGAAGTGTCGTCTCATTATTGGGGGAGGATTTATTGTATGCTGTTCCAGTTTGATTGCCAAGAGTGTAAGCTGGTTGTATGCTTTTCCTGTTCAGCTGTTTCCAGTATTCGTGAGTTTCCTGTTCAGGAGTTGGAGAATTCGTGTAGTTTGCAGTTCGGGAGATTGGTGCTTGCAGTAGCTGTCTGTGCATCTGAAAGGGGAATATCGCCTAAACGGTTTTTAACCTCTTGTGTGCGAAACGGTCCGTTACAACAACTATTTTCCTGGCTTTGTTATAATGGGTTAAGCTTTCTAGGGGATCTCTTCTTTAGTAATACAATCATGTAATTCTAATGATTTCCCCCCCAGAATTTTTATTTCTGTAGTCAAACTTAAATAAAATGTACTCACCTTTTAGTTCTTACTTTGGCAAGCTCAGTGAATCCAGTGTTTCTCCATGAAGAGACATGGCTGGGAGCCTACTGCTCCGCTGCTCCACAGAGCATCTACTACTAGAGATGCATTACACAATAGCATCAGCATCAGACCTTTAAATATTGCACAACTGTAAGGAGGAAGTGCCTTTAGTGGCTGTATGGTGTTCTTACAGATTGAGGTAAACACTGCATTTTCACAAACACTGCATTTTTTTTTACAAACGCAATACCGCATGGACAGGCATCTTACACCAAAATCACTATGTTAAGATATGGTAGCACTGGAACTCAGAAAGTCCCTTTAAACTTCATCCAAAATTTCCAGTTTAGTAAATAAACCAACCGGGCTGTCACATGGCTCAGCTAATATTCCCTTTTCCAAATTAGATAGAATCCCTGTATTTGCATCTATTTCTTTTATATGTTTTCTAATTTCTTATTCATTTTCCACCTTGCTATCCTGTTGTACTTTGTTTATTTATACCTTTCATTTTTATGATATTCCTAATAGTTACCTTTTTACATTGTTGAGGAACTGCTACCCACTACCTCATACACACCGATGTATGTACAAATTTATAACAATTCAGTTCATACATCGTCATTACTGCCTCTCTGTGCCAACAGAACACAAAAAAAAGGTTTCTTTAATTTATAAAACAAATTTAAAGTATGAAGTTTGTCCAGAATTGAAACCTGAAAGACGAATTTGCCAGAGTGTGCAGATTTATTTATATAACAGAGTCTTTGCTTGAGGATATGACCTGTTTCTGTATTTTATTTTTATCTCTTTTTGTGTTAAATAGTTTTTATTTTGCTAGTAAATTAAAAGCAAACATATTGCAAATTATTGGAAATATCGCATGGTTGTCTACACAGAGGCGTATAAGTTGAAATAAGTAGACTTATGGATAATAATAATACAAAACGAGTATGCGGATAACTTGCGTGATCATATAAATAAAGCGTAGCATGTTACAGTGTGTGTGAGGAAATATGTTTCCGATGTTAGGACCGCCCTGGCGATCAGACTTCTGAAGCATGGTGCACAGAAAACATTCAGCGTTCATGTATCAATGTGTGGCAAAGATTATATAGGCAATTATCGAATCATCAATCTAATACGGAGCAGTATTTTAGCCTGAGATCAATGACGTGAACAGCAATAACGTGAACTGTACTAATAACAGGCGTCTAATTCCATCAGATGCAGTATTGAACAGTGTGTAACAGCGTAATAACTAATATATATGTGGTGTTAGCTAGACGTGTGGTGGAGTGTTACATTGGGGATTTTGTCCAGGATCATAAACTACTATATCCCGAATTGAGTGCTGATACTTAGGCTTAGGATGTTAGCATTGCCATGGTTAATGAATCAGCGGATAGGCAAGGCTCGAAAGAGAATGTCTACTCGCCTGAGCTTCCGGTTTTTCATGGTTAGGCTTCTGGTGGCCTGTGGCCTGTGTGGCAGTGGTGATCGCTTTCGTCTGGTCAAACTGGGTATCCCCGCAGAGGTGAAGCCACATGCGGTGCAGCTAGGGTGAGTCATGGTTTCAGCAGTCAGTGTGGATTGCGCGTAGTGGTAGTGAGCGTATTCGCACTGTCCCTGGCATGGGGAAGGCGGGGGTAATGTACCAGAGGGTGAAGACTTTGTATGCGTTTTCTTGTAGTCTTGCCGACCTTGGTCTTTTTTGGGACGTGGGTGATGATTTTGTCCCAGTCAGCCTCTGACAGTGTTTCATCAAGGTCTTCTTCCCACTGTCTGATGCATGGTGGGGCTAGTATTGGTCTATTGCCAGTGTGGCGTAGATCAAGGAGATTGCTTTTGGCAGTTCCATTTCCTGAAGGCACAGGGATTTGAACTCCATTCGATCCAGAAGTATGTAGGGTTTTTGAGGGATTGAGCTGGCGTAGTGCGATATTTGCTCTCTCGCCAGAGTGTGTAGAAATGTGTGTTGCCATTCTGAGAAGAGGGCAGTTAGGGGGCGAATTCTGAATGGTTTTAATAGCACATTGGCAATGCGGAGTATTGTGTTGCAGTTTGTCAGATTTGGAGTAGTTGATTTGTAGATTGGATATGCTGCTATAGGTGTCGAAATCTGTTGTGATCGCCTGTAGGGATGTAGTCGGGTCCCTTACTATGAAGAGGAGGTCGTCTGCATAGGTGAGAACTTTGTGGTGTGTCTGACCCAGTTCCAAACCACGTATATTCTCGTTGCATCTGATGTTTTTCAGGAAGGATTCCAGGGTTAGTGTCGAATTCTGTTGTGATCGCCTGTAGGGATGTGGTCGGGTCCCTTACTATGAAGAGGAGGTCGTCTGCATAGGTGAGAACTTTGTGGTGTGTCTGACCCAGTTCCAAACCACATATATTCTCATTGCATCTGATGTTTTTCAGGAAGGGTTCCAGGGTTAGTGCGAATAGCAGGGGCAACAATGGGCAGACCTGGCACACCCCATTGTGTATTTGGAACGGGTCCGACAGAGCCCCGTTGATCTGTAGTCGTGCTGTTGGGCACATGTATAGTGCTTCCACCCAAGTGATGTATTTGGGTACGATGTCTATGCTCCGGAGTGTAGCAAACATGAGTCTCTAGTCCACCCGATCAAAAGCCTTCTCGGCACCTGTTGAGAGGATTAGGGTCGGACGCTTGGCCCATCTGGCCACGGAGATCAAGTTTATTGCCCAGATGGTGTTGTCCCAGACCTCCCGACCCGGGATGAAGCCCGTTGATCTGGGTTTACCAGGTTGGGAAGTAGGGGGGCCAAGCAATTGGCCAGAACACTAGCAAGCAGTTTGATATCGACGTTGAGGACCGAGATCGGGTGGTAGCCTTGGCATAGATTCGGGTTCTTACACTCTTAGGGAGTAGAGTGATGTTCATGGGCGTGAATTGGGCCGAGGGGTCATCCATTCTAGGATGGAGTTCAAGGCCGTTTGGAGTTTCGGAAGGAAATTTGGTAGGAAGGTCTTGTAGTATAGAAGAGGTAGGCCGTCAGGGCCTGCAGATCTGCCCGTCTTCACTTTTTTGATAGCGAGCGCCAATTCTTCCTTTGAAATGGGGGTCTTCAATCTGGGATAGTCAAGATGTAGCAAGGTAGACCCGGAGGTCGTCTCTCCTGCGGGTTGCATCATTGTCTAGTGTGCCTTGACGTATATGATACAGTTCTTTGTAGTATTGGAGGAATGTGGCTGAGATTTGTCCCGGGAGATGATGGATCTGCATTCGGTCTTTAATTTTGGGAATGTATTCTTGGGTTCTGCGTTGCTTTAGTAGATTATCTAGGAGACTTCCTTTATCTCTTTTTGGAATGGTTTATTTACTAGTACTCACTGCAGAGCAAATGTTAAAGTTACTATAAAGACAGGAGTGCAGACGTGAATGGGGCCATCATGGCTGTACAACCCTTGAAATAAAGGCAATCCCTTTGCTAACTATCTAGATGTAAACTACAAACATTCATTTTGCTTAAAGAGGTCATGCATATACTTTTTAAAAATATCAAGTCAGCTACACTTATAAATATTGGCCACTAGAGGGCAGTGCAGGACTGTATTCCTTAGTGTATAAACTGAAATCCAGTCTTCTTCCTAAATGAAGCACAAATTATATTTACGTAGAACTTCGTTTTGACACTACATTTGATAAAAGCTTTTATTGACATTATATATCTATTAGTCAAAAATGGGGTACTATAACACCTACTGTACTACTTTGTTAGTGCCTTATAAATAAATATAACTGCTAATCTGAGCATGCAATATTCAGTATATTGTATGCCAAATAAACTATAAATAGAACCAGTCATATCTTCTTTATTATAGTCTTGCACCTTGTATTGTCCTGCTTATACGTGGGGAAACAATATTTATAGAAGCGCACCATGGCAATGATCTAATGTTCAAAATTTGATTGGGTGTTAAATGGAAAAATGATATTACCTTATTAGAAAATAAACAGTAAATATATTAATATATACCATATCACTCCCTACAGTTCAACATTTCAACACTAGGTCCTTTTTAAGGGGATCTCTCATTGTGTAGTGCATACCTGCTTTTAAAAAGCTCAAAATCATCGCACTGGAAAGACTTGAAAATACCAATAAAAAAAGTTTTAAAAAGCTGTCAGGTATACACACGTACATTTTAGTAAATAATTATAAATATAAGACGGATAATTATTTACCACCCTGTAGGCATGCACAGGTTTTTAGCCCCATAAGGATGGATTTGATGGTACACGTTCTGTTCAAAACAAAATAAAAACAAAAGTATGTTAATCCATAATTTACCTATTTCATATTATATGCACCCACACTTCTTGTGTATCATTTTGTTCAGGAAAAACAGGGCTTTCATCACATCAAATATTTAGATTTGTAACATAATTGAATATGAATAAAATCTAAAGAAATGTGAGAAATTAAAGGGACACTCCAGGTACCCAGACCACTTCTGCCCATTGGAGTGGTCTGGGTGCCAACTCCCACTACCCTTAACCCTGCTAGTGTAATTATTGCAGTTTTCATAAAAACAGCTGGACCCAGCACACCATACAGTTCTGAGAGGCCCGTCATGATATATGGACTTGTGAAGATGCCCTAGCACCCTATTACCCGCGTGGTCTTTGGTTGGAGAAGCAAACAGTGCTTCTAACCAAAGATTATTAAAAGATGGCCACCCCCATGGAATAAAGATAAGTCAGGAGATGTACTGTATATGTGTTCTCTATAAAATAATACACGCAGAGGCTATAATACATGCAAGCTTTAATTTTAAATAATATAAAAAAATTTGAATGTTTTTCTTTAAAAGACTGTGGCAACATTATTAAACTAACTATAATAATGTGCATGATCACAGAGTCTGGTATGTCACTTTAAGGGTAGTTACAGCTAGGAGAACTTGGAGTTATGGATTCTTTATGATAACTCGAGCTGGAGTTAGAGGGCTTAAGGTCAAGACTTTGGTGGTGCCTGCTTTCAAGATGCACAAGATGCTAACATTTTAAATGTATATACATGAAAAGTATTCCTGCATATTATATTAAAATATAATTAGATTATTTTATATTGTAAAATATATATATATATATTTATATATATATAATGTCCAGACTGCCCATTCAGCAAGTTCTCATCCAGAGCCTTATCGTGTTATAAAAGCTCGATCTGCTCTAGAAAGGAAGCAAAATTGGAGTTGGGTCCACAGCACAGAGCTGGCAATTTGGTCTCTTTTGTGGTTGATAATTACCCAGTACTCAACAAACCCTCACTTCTCAGCACCAGCTTTTCAACTGGGTGCAATTTGCTGCTTTTTTATCTCTTGTGGCAGCCGCAGAAGCAGTAGCAGGATTCAGACTCCCCCCGCCCCCCTCTGCCTCCATACAATTACCTCTTCCGATTAATAAGGAGTGTGTCCGTCTGACAGAGAGGGGCTATTCTGCAGCGGACAATGTCCTCTATACACAGAGCGGGTGGCTATTTTGGAAACGCATTAGATGCTGCTTCAGCCTTTTATACGCAGGTGGATTTATGCATTGCTCCCTGCCATTTCAAAAATCCCATTTATTATTTGTATTTAGTCCATTTCTCCCCTCCAACTAAACTTTCTGACCCTATTATTTCTCCGAGCAGTAATTCTGAACAGCAAATGATTAAGTGGGTCAGCCTGCCCTATTCAGCACATTTGCCCTCTGCAGCAGGAGATCAGTATGATAGTTGATAACAAATTTGTTCTCCAAATTATCAGTGTTCTGTTATCCAAAATGAACTGTGCCTTTCCTGCCTGAATTCATTCGTATGGTTTTTGCTGCTGCGCAGATGGACTTTCTAAATAAAAGAAAATCCTTTGGAATATGACGCATTAAAAGAGGAGACTATAATCTTGAATCTAAGGGGAAAGATGTGACTGGCCCTTTAACCCATTAAATGCACACCTGCTATGAATATACGTGGGAATTTCGTAAGCTAACAATAAAACCCTGAAATTATTTGTTTCGATAAACACTCTATAGCAAGCATAGGCAACCTTTGGCACTGTAGATGGTTTGGACTACACCTTCCATGATGCTTTGCCATCATTATGGGTGTAAGAGCATTATGGGGGATGTAGTTCACAACATCTGGAGTACCGAAGGTTGCCTATCCCTGCTCTAAAGCAAAGATTACAGACCTGGACTTTCAAGATGTTATATGCAAAAGTTTTTACCACCAACCTTAAAATGTAACTGGTAGATAGTTATAGATACTTTAGACATATAAGATATTCTTGATAGCATAGAATCAATGAACAGAATCCCAACTACTCATCCGCTGAGATCAGAGGGCGGGTGGTGGGATAGAGAGCTCAGACTATACAATCTAAAAGAGAAAAAAATAACCTTTATTAATAACTAGATCATAATTACTGAGACTAAAAAGAAAAACAGAAATCCACCACACGTGTAACATTTCTGGGGTCTGGCCGAGAAAAGCGAGAGTAGAGGTAAAGGTACAGGAAAAGATAGCGAGATAGATGGTATCCAACAATTAGGTACAGGACAGAGCTGGATTATTGAGAGAAAACAATTCCCTATAGAAATAACCCAAATGCAGGTAAGGAGAATGGGAATAAAAAAGTCCATGCTTCCCTCATTTATGCATACGTTAGAACCAAAGCCTAGGTACGGAAAAAAAAAAGAAAAAGAAATAGGGACACATGGGCTAAATGTCTATCTACCATAACCACTGGAGACTAGAAAAAATAAAAACAGCAAACAAGCATAAAGTATATAAGCTATCTACTGTCCCTGATTACCTCGGCACCACAGAAGGCTAGTGCCTACCTAAACCAAAGACCTTCAGAGTACCTAAATTACTAAAAAAGAATAAGAATAAGGTGCATAGTACTACCCTAAAAAGGTGTAGTAAAAAATAATGTGAAGTGAAAGAAACGCCCGATGCGTGTTTCGACGTGTAAATACGCGTGTAGGGGCAGAATCAGCAACGCCGTCTAGGTGAGTTAAATACCCTGCTCACTAATTAGCCATGTGTGTCTAAGCTAATCGTGGGCTCATCTCATAATTAGGGAGCCAATCGGTGCAACGAAGTATGATCCAGGGGGAGGTAGCAACAGTGCCAGCTAAACATCAAACATGTGGCCACAGAAAAGTCACACCTTCCGTATAGACAGACGGTTATTGGTTTTTACTCTGTGTCAATCAACTCAAAGAGGGCGAGCTCAAACTTTGGAGTCTCCCTGTGTGAAGAAATAGATCAAATAAAGAAGGGGTGTGTTTATCACTGGGTTCATTAACCCTGATTGAGCCAGGCAAGGCAAAGTCGCAGGATAACACTTATAACTCTTATATCCCTAATCCTCCCTGAAATGAATTGGACTCAAGCTCCCCTCCCTAAAGGCGTGACCGTGGCATGTAAACCAAGTGGTCACAGACTAAAGCTAGGACCAATAAAGCGCATGAGGGCGGCAGTGGCGGACTAAGGGGTGGTGGAGGGGGCGGTCCGCCCCAGGTGCCACCAAGTAGGGGAGTGCCATGACCCTGGTCTGAGGGCTAATAGTGGATGTGTGAGCTGCGCCCCATGGCAGCTGGGGTGTCGCACAGCTCATACGGAGAGACTAATTGCTGAACTAGCCACACGGAAAGAAGGGGCAGAGCTACGGTCGTTTGGGGGTGGGGCCAATCCAAGAGCAGGGGCGGGGCTTAACACTGCCCTTACCCACTGCTGTTACGGCTGCACATGGAGGTGCAGCAAGAAGAAATCCCAGCTCCTCCACCTACCAGGCTCCAGGGAAGGACTTCAGGCCAGGCAATCCACTCCTCCAGCCCACACTGTCTGTAAGTGTGAGTGTGTGTGACTGTCTCTCTGTAACTGTGTGTGTGTTTAACTGTCTGCCTGTAACTGTGTGTGTGTGTGTGTGTATAACTATCTGCCTGTAACTGTGTGTGTGTGTGTGTTACTATCTGCCTGTAACTATCTGCCTGTAACTGTGTGTGTGTGTGTTACTGTCTAACTGTGTGTGTGTGTGTGTGTGTGTGTGTAACTGTCTGCCTGTAACTGTGTGTGTGTGTGTGTAACTGTCTGCCTGTAACTGTGTGTGTGTATGTGTGTGTAATTGTCTGCCTGTAACTGTGTGTGTGTGTGTTACTGTCTGCCTGTATAACTGTGTGTGTGTATGTGTGTGTAACTGTCTGCTTGTAACTCTGTGTGTGTGTGTGTGTGTGTGTGTGTGTAATGGTCTGCCTGTAACTGTGTGTGTGTGTGTGTAACTGTCTGCCTGTAAATGTGTGTGTGTGACTGTCTGTAACAGTGTGTGTGTGTGTAACGGTCTGCCTGTAACTGTGTGTGTGTGTGTGTGTGTGTGTGTGTGTGTGTAACGGTCTAATTGTAACTGTGTGTGTGTAACTCTCTGCCTGTTACTGTGTGTGTCTATGTGTGTGTGTAACGGTCTGCCTGTAACTGTGTGTGTGTGTGTAACGGTCTGCTTGTAACTGTGTGTGTGTAACTCTCTGCCTGTTACTGTGTGTGTCTATGTGTGTGTGTAATGGTCTGACTGTAACTGTGTGTGTGTGTGTGTGTGTAACTGTCTGCCTGTAACTCTGTGTGTGTAACTGTCTTCCTGTAACTGTGTGTGTGTGTGTGACTGACTGTGACTGTGTGTGACAGTCTGCCTGTGACTGTGTGATGCTGCCTGTAACTGTGTGTGTGTGGCTGTAACTATGTGTATGACTGTCTGCCTTTGACCGTGTGTGTGACATGTATATGTGACTGTCTGCCTGTATCAGTGTGCGTCACTGTGTGTTACTGCTTGTAACTGACTGTGTGTGTAACTCTCTATCTGTAACTGTGTGTATGACTGCCTGTGACTATGTGATTATATGTGTGACTGTCTGCATGTGACTGTGTGCGTGCGACTTTGTGCTTGTAACTTTGTGTGACTGTCTGCCTGTAACGGTGTGTGAGGGGGTGCAGGGATTTTGTAGAAGGGGCAGAGGTTTTAAAAGGTTTACAAATTTGAGTAATACATCTTTAAAAATGTAAAAAATAACACATTTTAAAAATTTAGTAGGAGGGTTTTTTTTTGCTTATACGGCAAGATCAACACCAGGCCAAGCGGGGTGTTGCCTAGCCAGCACACAATCTGTGAAGTCCTGTCGAACGCCCGCCCGCCCCCCAGCGCACAGTGTCATAAACTGACTAAGGGGGAAAGAGTGTGTCACTGTCTGCATTGTTGCACATTCGCCAGACATGTAAAACACCCCAAGTAAAACCTTGTTGATAGTCATGGGATACAGTTAACAGTCCAAGTCAACGAGGGTGGGGCCAAGTGATACAACCACATAGGGCTGGCAAAACAACTCATAATGTGTGAAGTTCTATCCTGTCTCTCTATTGGAGCCTAAATCAGTAGAAAAGGGGGAAATGTTTATTAACATGCTATCCATTGATACTTATGCCCCCTAGCATACAGGTAAGACTTAATCAGTCCACTTTTAAAAAAATCCCCCCTAAATTTCATAGCTGGGACAATAGTCTATGAAGGAAAGCCACTCCTATTCTAACAGATATATACCAATATATCGGGTATTAAACATCCAACTAGGTATACTGAACTATACCATTGCCATCACACCGTCCTACCCCTACTAATATGGGTAATTCGGGATGGCATTAGTGTTGGCAGATCAATATACCTTAGAAATCGGAAGAACGGAAATAAGTCAAAGAAGGCCCCTGCACCTGAGCGTATTTACAAGCCGAAAGGCGCGTTTGACATTTCTTTCACTACAAATTATTTTTGACTGGACCTTTTTAGGATAGCACTATGCACCTTATTCTTATTATTTTTTTGTAATTTAGGTACTCTAAGGGTCTTTGGTTTAGGTATGCACTAGATTGTGTGATAATGACATGAAAGTTCAAACCCAAGCCTTTATAATAAAAATGATGGATCCCTGTAGAAAAAAGGACAACACAAAATGTTATGAACGCCGAGCCAGAGGCAGCGGAAGCGACAAAGCATTTTGGCAAGTGGCGTGGATGCTGTGGGATAAATATACAAAAGATAACCCACAACAAATGAACTTATATAAGCAGGTCCACACTCTGACAGCTAGCCCATAAATTGGAAGCACAAGTTCCAGAGGGAAATGTATAATTCCAAAGTTATTATCTAGCTGTTTAAAACAGCAACTCATGAGGCAACTCCTTGTAACAATGTATCTTGGGCTACGACGACTATGTACCCATGGAGGACATGGGCAGACCTGTAGCTGTCATGCAGCCAGCACAGCAACCCAACCCCATTCTCACCCTGGATCCCACCCTCCCTTCCCCTATTATATGTTATTCAAAGTAATTTGATATGTTTATGTAATACCAAAATATTGCACCACTGAAAACAATCATTACCCAACAACCATGTATGTCATTTGATATACTGTATAACCAGTCAGCTGTGTGCTTTATACATAAAAAAACCACCATGGATAAGGAGTATGCCAGGAACAATGGTTCTTGGTAATGGAACAAAAAAAAAAAAGTAGAAAAAAGAAATGTGACCTGGAATCAGGGCTCTGTAAATACTTCTCGAAAAACGGCAAATGGTGTTACAACACATACAGGGCTATTTACAAACGCGAGAATCCTAAGTGAATTAGAATTTAACCCCTTAAGGACACAGCTTCAAAAGCTTGTCTTACCCTTAAGGACACAAGCCATTTTTGCATTTTTTGCTCTTTGTGTTCAAACGCAATTTGCATCTATGTCATTTATTGCACCAACACATATTATATACCGTTTTTCAGAGAGCAAACAGGGCTTTAATTTTATGTCACATATATATAGATACATTCTCATTAATTATAAAAAAAATGCCACAAAATAGGAACAAAACTAAAAAATATATATTTTTTCACAGTTTTGGCAGTAATAGCGTGTGCATAATATGTCCAGTTTAGAAAAAGTAATTCAAAATTAACTCATTTATGTGTCTTGATTTATAGAATACATAACATGTATAGGATTTCAGCTTATTTTGAAAGGACTAAAATAAAATTTTTATGTGAAACAATTTTAGAAGTTGGTATGTTTGTCTTGTAGGTTTAGTAGCAATCACAGAAAACAAAATTGCAACACAAAAGTATATATTTATATAAAGTAGACATCACAGGCTATTTACCTAAGGTTAGTTTGACACTTTTTACGTAACCATTTCATCGCCAATCTCTGCTAAATATTGGAGTAAAATTGTGTTTTTTCTCTATTTTGGCATATACACATATAAAAATGTTTTTGTAATGTGTATTTCGTAAAGCTGGAGTGTGCTACCCCTGCACAGAACCCCATAACGATACCCTTATTGTATGCCTTTGGCACTTTTCTGTAAAGCTACAATGCAATATAAGAGACAAGGCTATTTCAGTTTCTATAGTTAGAATTTTTGTAGATGGATTTGACGGGCCTATGTGTCATTTTAGGGTATTATAGCAGTGTGACTGTTCAAATAACTCCACAAAGGGCTTTCATTTGATTAAGCAGACACCCCAGGGTATCTATTATGGTGTATATTGTGCCTTAACTTGTCACCATGTTTTACCAATTTATGTCAATATTTGTGGTGAGGGGGGAAAATTGCATTTTTACATATATGTTGCATTTTTGCTGAGTATTTCTTGCACTTGATATGTACCACTGTCATAAAAATCCCCAAATTATGCTCAGCTACATCTTCTGAGAAAACAATATGCCCAATGTATGACCTAGACACTATTTTGTGAAGTTACAGTGCTGTAAAAGAGATGTGACAAGTTCAGGTTTTTAAGTGTGAATTTTCATGGAGGGTTTTGATGCGTCCAAGTTGGAGCACTTGAGCAGGCTACATATTACAACTACACCATAAAGTCATACCATTTCTTAAAGAAGACATCCCAGGGCAATTCAAAAGGCATATTTTGAACCTTAGCGTGGGATAATTTTTCTGCTAGCTTGTACCAAATGTAGTGGTAATAAGCTTTTTTTTTGCCTTTTTGACACACAAAGTGAGTTTGCGCAGTATAATTTGCAAACTTTATGTGTGCTACGACTGTATAATACTTCATATATTGCTCAGCTATGTCGGCTGAGTACAGCAATACCTCCGTATGTACCTTTGCCAGGTATATGTGGACATTGCAGGGGCACATTTGAGACACAGCCATTCCAGTTTTTTTCAAACTTTGAATTTTTGTAGGGTGTCCATGTCCCATTTTAGAGTATTTTACCAGGCTATATAATCCAATTACCCCATAAAGGCATACCATTTATTAAAGAAGACATTTCAGGGCAATTCAAAATGCATATTTTAAACCTTAGCGTGGGATAATTTTTCCACTAGCTTGTAACAAGTGTAGTGGTAATAAAATTGTTTCTGCCTTTTTGACATACAAAATGAGTTTGCGCAGTATATTTTGCAAACTTTATGTGTGCTACGACTGTATAATACTTCATATGTTGCTCAGCTATGTTGGCTGAGTACAGCAATACTAGTTTGCATATTGCTAATTCTGCAGGCAGGAGAGATATTTTGTCTTGATTGACTTCCCTACCCCTTTGTAGATATGTTATTGTGTTATTATTTTCAAGTTACTTTAACCCCTTAACCCCTTAAGGACTGGACTGTTTTTGCGATGTTGTACATTTGCGACCAGGCATATTTTTACACTTTTGTGGTGTTTGTGTTTGGCTGTAATTTTCCGCTTTCTCATTTACTGTTCCCATACAAATTATATATTGTTTTTTTCAGGACAAAATGGGCTTTCTTTACATACCATTATTTATATAATCTCATGTATTTTAATTTAAAAAAAATACAAAAATCTGATGAAAAATTGAAAAAAAATACATGTTTTTTGACTTTTACTTGAAAAATCTTTTACTCATCTACAAAAGCGAATGAAAAAAACTGCTAAATAGATTCAAAATTTTGTCCTGAGTTTAAAAATACCTAGTGTTTACGTGCTTTTTTGCTTTTTTTTGCATGTTATAGGGCTATAGGTACAAGTAGGATATTGCGGTTTCAAAACATACATTTTTAAAATTTATCAATAGTGACATTTTAACACTATTATCTGTCATAAATCTCTGAATAACACCCCACATGTACATATTTTTTTTAAAGTAGACAACCCAGGGTATTCAATATGGGGTATGTACAGTCTTTTTTAGTAGCCACTTAGTCGAAAACACTGGCCAAAGTAAGCATTCATATTTGTTTGTGTGTGAAAAAAGTAAAAAAACTAAATTGAACGCTAATTTTGGCCAGTGTTTGTGACCAAGTGGTTACTAAAAAAGACTGGACATACCCCATTTGCAATACCTTGGGTTGTCTTCTTTTGCAAATGGTATGCCATCATGGGGGTAATTCTCATTCCTGGGCTACCATACGCTCTCAAAGGCAACGTAACCAACCTGGCCATTTTCAATGTAAAAATATTTGACCCATATATTTGACCTTGTAACTTTCAAAAATGCTATAAAACCTGTACATGGGGGGTACTGTTTTACTCGGGAGACATCGCTGAACACAAATATTAGTGTTTAAAAACTGGAAAACGTATCACAACAATTATATCATCAGTAAAAGTGCTGTTTGTGTGTGAAAAATGCAAAAAAAGTAACTTTCACTGACAATATCATCGCTGTGATATGTTTTACTGTTTTGAATCACTAATATTTGTGTTCAGCGAAGTCTCCCGAGTAAAACAGTACCCCCCATGTACAGGTTTTAGGGTGTCGTAGAACGTTACAGGGTAAAATACAGTGCTAGCAAATTAAATTCTCTGGAATTTCGGCCTGGGTTGGCAGGCAGGTCCCTCAAATTGCAATCAATAAAATTACTGAATTATGTAAAAATATTACATAAATACGCACGTAGAATTTAAATATATATGCATATTTATATATTTGAAGTCTACGTGTATATTTATATAATTATTTATGTAATTTTGTATATGGACGTATGTATATTTCTTATTATTTTTATTTATTTTTATATACATAGATATATATACAAATTCATTCTAAGTGTATTTTGATATAAATATATATATATTAATTTTAAAATACAGTTAGAATAAAATTTCATATAGCTATATAATTTTTTTTAAATTTTGTATTATTATTTTAAAAAAAATTATTTAATTTAAATTACTTATTATTTATATTTTATAATAATATATATATACAATATATATAGTTATTATATATATTATATATATACGTGTGTAATTTAATTATAAGTGTATTTTTATATTAATATAATTACATATTAATATAAAAATACACTTAATATGACATTATATATATGATATATAGACATATATTATTTATATATAATATATGTCTATATATCATATTTATATACACATATATAATTTTTTTTATTTTTAATTAACATTAACTTTATTTTTATTTCTGATTTTACACTAGCAGGGAGACTGCCTGTCAGCACAGACAGTCCCCCTGCAGGCAGACACATGGACACCCATTGTGACCATGTGATCGCTGTGTTGAGCCATCACATGGCCACAGGGGTCCTAAATCAGTGTGGGGAGACTGTCTGGGCTGCAGGCAGTCTCCCCACAACCGTAGCCACGCTGATCACCGCCGGGGGAACGACGGCGATCAGGTAAGTAAATAGGACCGTTAGGACGGTTCAGGACCGTCATCGGTCGGCAAGGCAAAAATGCTGATGACGGTCCTGAACCGTCCTCGGTCGGGAAGGGGTTAAGGACAGAGCTTCAAAAGCTTGTCTTTCACTTAATGACAACGGCATTTTTTTCATTTTTTGCTGTTTGCGTTCAACTGCAATTTGCATTTTACTAATTTGTTGCACCAACACATATTATACATTGTTTTTTTAAAGGACAGAAAGGGCTTTAGTTTGATGTAACACACATATATATAAATGCTTATTTATTATAAAAAAATACAGAAAAATATAAAAAAAGTGAAAATGTCTTTTTTTTACAGTTTTTGCAATAATAATGTGTGCATAATTAGTGCAGGTTAAGAAAAGTAATTAAAAATAAATTCATTTAGTTGTTCTGATTTACAGAATATATCATGTGTCTGGGATTTTAAGTTTTTTTTGGTAGTTACAGGTCACAAAGCACAAGGAGTAAAATAGACTTTTAATGTGGAGCGATTTTAGAATTTGGTATGTTTGTCTTGTAAGCTTAATAGCCATAAAAGAAAACAAAATTGCCACACAAAAGTATATATTTATATAAAGTAGACATCACGGGCTATTGACCTAAGGTTGTTTTGACACTTTCTACGTAGCCATTTCACCGCCAACCTCTGCTAAATATTGGAGTAAAATTGTGTTTTTTTTGGTTTTTGGCACACAAACTTATAACAGAGAAATTCTCGTGTATATTTTGTAAAGTTGGTGTGTGCTATTCCTGTACAAAGTTTTATTTTGTGTTCAGTTACATCTGCTGAGTAAAATGACACCCCCATTGTATGTCTTTGGCACTATTTCATGAAGTTACAGTGCCATACAGGATACCTGTCCTTTTCAGTATTCACAGAAGAATTTTGAGAGATGGATTTAATGAGCCTTAGCTTCCATTTGGGGTATTATAACAGTTTGACTGTTCAAAAAACCCCCACAAAGGCCTACCATTTGTAAAAGTAGACACTCCAGGGTATCTTATAAGGTGCATATTGTGCCTTAACATGCCCCCATTTTTTCACCAATATATGCCAAAGTATGTGGTAAAAAATAATTTTGTGCATTTTTTACATACGGATTGCATTTTTGCTGGGCGTTTTGTATATTTCATATGTGCCACTAAGTTCAAACCCCCCAAATTATGCTCAGCTAAGTCTTCTGAGTAAAATGACACCCCATATGAATGTCTTTGGCACTATTTCGTGAAGCTACAGTACCATATAGGAAACCTGTCCTTTACAGTATTCACAGTAGAATTTTGAGAGATGGATTTAATGAGCCTTAGCTTCCATTTGGGGTATTATAACAGTTTGACTGTTCAAAAAACCCCGACAAAGGCCTACCATTTGTAAAAGTAGACACTCCAGGGTATCTCATAAGGTGCTTATTGTGCCTTAACATGCCCCCATTTCTTCACCAATATATGCCAAAGTATGTGGTAAAAAATAATTTTGTGCATTTTTTACATACGGATTGCATTTTTGCTGGGCATTTTGTATATTTCATATGTTCCACTAAGTTCAAACCCCCAAATTATGCTCAGCTAAGTCTTCTGAGTAAAATGACACCCCATATGAATGTCTTTGGCACTATTTCGTGAAGCTACAGTGCCATATAGGAGACCTGTCCTTTACAGTATTCACAGTAGAATTTTGAGAGATGGATTTAATGAGCCTTAGCTTCCATTTGGGGTATTATAACAGTTTGACTGTTCAAAAACCCCCCACAAAGGCCTACCATTTGTAAAAGTAGACACTCCAGGGTATCTCATAAGGTGCATATTGTGCCTTAACATACCCCCATTTTTTCACCAATATATGCCAAAGTATGTGGTAAAAAAATTATTTTGTGCATTTTTTACATACGGATTGCATTTTTGCTGGGCGTTTTGAATATTTCATATGTGCCACTCAGGGCCGTCTTTAACGCGGGGCAAACGGGGCAGCTGCCCCGGGCCCAGTTTCTCTTGGAGGGCCCGAGGCACCTGCCCCGTGGGCCCCGCTGCCCTCATCAATTAATTTTTTTCACCATCCTCTGAGTCCCACCGGGTGGCCCATGCACTTAGGGCCACCCAGTGGGCTTGTATCAGCAGGGGCCCAGTCGGGCGCTGTTGCCCTTTAACACTGCGACCGGGCCCCTTGCTTTCCGGCATCCGGCTGAGAGGAAGTGACAGCCGCAAGTCACTTCCTCCCATAAACAGAGGAGCTGCACGGAATCTGGCAGGAGGAGTCGTGAGGGAGAGAGGACGCGGCTGCAGTGAGGATGGAGGATCCTCACTCCCATCATGCTCAGGCACCACACTGGACTCCAGGGAAGCCACCCTCCAGCAAAAGGTAGGAAACTGGAGGGTGGGTTTAAAAATGTACATTTTACATGTGTGTCAGTATGTCTGTTTGTCTGTGTGTCAGTGTCTGTTGTGTCTGTGTGTCAGTAGATCTGTGTGTGTGTGTCAGTATGTCTGTCTGTGTGTCAGTATGTCTGTGTCAGTATGACTGTCTGTGTGTGTGTCAGTATGTCTGTGTGTGTGTGTGTCAGTATGTCTGTCTGTGTGTGTCAGTATGTCTGTGTGTTTCAGTATGTCTGTGTGTGTGTTTCAGTATGTCTGTGTGTGTGTGTGTGTCAGTATGTCTGTCTGTGTCAGTATGCCTGTCTGTGTGTGTGTCAGTATGTCTGTGTGTGTCAGCATGTCTGTGTGTGTGTCAGTATGTCTGTGTGTGTGTGTGTCAGTATGCCTGTCTGTGTGTGTGTCATTATGCCTGTCTGTGTGTGAGTCAGCATGTCTGTGTGTGTGTGTGTCAGCATGTCTGTGTGTGTGTGTGTGTCAGTATGTCTGTCCGTGCGTCAGTATGTCTGTTAGTGCATGTGTATGTCTGTTTGTCTGTGTGCCAGTATATCTGTCTGTGTGCCAGTATGTCTGTGTGTGTGTGTGTGTGTCAGTGTATGTGCCTGTGTGTGTGTCAGTATTTCTCAGTGTATGTGGGTGTCAGTGTGTGTGTCAGTATATCTGTCAGTGTGTGGGTGTCAGTATTTCTGTCAGTGTATGTGTGTCAGTATGTTGATCAGTGTATGTGTCTGTGTGTGTGTGTCAGTATGACGGTATATGTGTCTGTGTGTCAGTATGTCTGTATATGTGACTGTGTCAGTATGTCTGTCAGTACGTCTACCAGTGTATGTGTCTGTGTGTGTGTGTCAATATATGTAGCTGTGTCAGTATGTCTGTCAGTGTATGTGCCTGTTTATCTGTATGTAGTCAGTGTATGTATCTGTGTATCTGCTTGTGTGTCAGAGTGTGTACCTGTGCATCTGAGCCGCAACTTTAAATACAAATACACCCCTCCATTCAAACTTCAACACTACATATAAAACACACTCCTGCATTGAAACGTCAACACTACATACAAGCACTCCTACATTCAAAAACAAACACTACACATAAATGCACACTTGCATTTAAACTCCAGTACCATTCCAGTACCATCCAGTAGCATTCACACAAACATACTCCATACAAACACATCCTTACATTCAAACATACAAACATGGCTCAGTGCTAAATACAACCCTGCAAGCATGGGAAATTGGTAGAGTCCCAGCTGTCAAAGCATTGTTGGAGTTGCACAACAGATGGGGTTCTACCTTTAGTCCAACCTTGCAATTGGGGGTCCCAATAAAATTAATTCTACTTTAGTACCGCCACTGCGTTGGGATGGATGCCGTGATTGCATACCAGGGAGTGAGGGGCGAGAGCGGCAGAGCCCAGGTGGCCCAAGCAAACACTTACCCAGGGTCCATTCGTTATTAAAGACGGCCCTGGTGCCACTAAATTCAAACCTCCCAAATTATGCTCAGCTAAGTCTTCTGAGTAAAAAGACACCCCCAATGAATGTCTTTGGCACTATTTCGTGAAGCTACAGTGCCATATAGGAGACCAAGCCATATCCGTTTTTACCAAACTTTGAATTTTGACGCTGGGCCTATGTGCAATTTCCAAGCATCTTCGTAGGTTTTAAATTCAAACTACCCCACAAAGGCCTACCATTTCTTAAGGTAGACACCCCAGGGTGTTTCAAAAGGTATAGTTTGAACCTTAGCGTGGGATCATTTTTCCGCTAGCTTGTACCAGATATAGTGGTAATAAGCATTTTTTCTGCCTTTTTGACATACAAAGTGAGTTTGCACAGTATATTTTGCAAACCTTATGTGTGCTACGACTGTATAATATTTCATATGTTGCTCAGCTATGTCGGCTGAGTACAGCAATACCCCCGTATGTACCTTTGCCAGGTATGTGTGGACATCGGAGGGGCACATTTGGGACACAGCCATTCCAGTTTTTTTCAAACTTTGAATTTTTATGCTGTGCCTATGTCCCATTTTAGAGTATTTTACCAGGCTATATAATCCAAATACCCCATAAAGCCATACCATTTCTTAAAGAAGACATCCCAGGGTATTTCAAAAGGCATATTTTGAACCTTAGCGTGGGATCATTTTTCCGCTAGCTTGTACCAAGTGTAGTGGTAATAAGCATTTTTTCTGCCTTTTTGACATACAAAGTGAGTTTGCGCAGCATATTTTGCAAACCTTATGTGTGCTATGACTGTATAATACTTCATATGTTGCTCAGCTATGTCGGCTGAGTACAGCAATACCCCCGTATGTACCTTTGCCAGGTATGTGTGGACATCGGAGGGGCACATTTGGGACACAGCCATTCCAGTTTTTTTCAAACTTTGAATTTTTATGCTGTGCCTATGTCCCATTTTAGAGTATTTTACCAGGCTATATAATCCAAATACCCCATAAAGCCATACCATTTCTTAAAGAAGACATCCCAGGGTATTTCAAAAGGCATATTTTGAACCTTAGCGTGGGATCATTTTTCCGCTAGCTTGTACCAAGTGTAGTGGTAATAAGCATTTTTTCTGCCTTTTTGACATACAAAGTGAGTTTGCGCAGCATATTTTGCAAACCTTATGTGTGCTATGACTGTATAATACTTCATATGTTGCTCAGCTATGTCGGCTGAGTACAGCAATACCCCCGTATGTACCTTTGCCAGGTATATGTGGATGTTGAAGGGGCGCATTTGAGACGCAGCCATTCAGTTTTTTTCTAACTTTGAAGTTTTACGCTGTGTCCATGTTCCAATTTGGAGTAGTTTAGACGGTTGGTTATTGAAACTTCCCCACAAACACATACTATTTATTAAAGAATACACCCTGGGGTAATTCAAAAGGCATATTTTGAACCTTGGCGTGGGATAATTTTTTCTCTAGTTTGTTCCAGGTGTAGTGGTAATGAGCGTTTTTAAAATGTATTTTTTTTACTTTTTATAACTTTTTTACTTTTAAAAACTAGTTTTTAAACTTTTGTTTTGCTTATAAATTTTTTTTAAACTTTCCTAAACTTTCTTAAAACATTTTTTACAGATTTAACATTTTTGTAAGCTTTTTTTTTTAACGTTAACCCCTAACTAGCAGTACGCAGCACTAACAGTAAATTCCCCATTTTCCCACAACTCCCACCCACCCCAGCTAGCAAAATATATAGTTATAAAATATTTAAATTAATTAATTAAATAAATTGAACCCCTGAAGGTTAAAAAATAAATAAAAGTTAATCCTCAGGGGTTAAAAAAAATTAGATCACAGTATAATACTGTGATCTCTATTTGATCGCTGTAGGCAGTGATCGACTGGCAGGGAAGGGGTTCATTTTTATTTGGACTAGGTAAAGGTTTTTTGTTTCTTTTTAACTTAAACGTTATTAAAACATTTTGTTAAGCTTAATTTTAAACTTTTTAAAGTTTCTTTTAAAACTTTTTTTAACGTTAACCCCTAGTTAGCCTAATGCCAAATCCCCCAATTCCCCACTAACTTCACCCACCCCAGCTAGCTAAATATATAATTTTAAAATAATTTAATTAATTAATTTAATTAATTTAACCCCTGAGGGTTAATTCTTTTTTTTTTTTTTTTTTAAATCAGATCACAGTAAAATGTAATCCCTGCCAATTGATCACTGTAGTCAGTGATCAATTGGCAGGGAAGGGGTTAATTTTTTATTAAAATGGGTAAAGGGGCGGGGGGACTTTAAATAAACTTTATTTTTTAACAGCAGGGGGCAGGATCAGCACTGTTCCGGCTCCCTGCACTTCACACAGAACCAGGAAGTGCAGGGAGCCGGAAGGTAAGTATGCAGAGCACATGTGCTCGCTCTGACTTGCGGTCAGAGCGAGCACATGTGCTGGGCAGCCTGACCGGGTGCTCCCGGTATGCCTCTAATGCAGAGGCATACCGGAGCACCATTAATCCCGCGATCGCCGCGATAGCGGCGATCTGGGGTTAATTTTACCGCGTGACGGACAAGGTCCGTCACTCGTCATTAAGGGTTTCCCTTCTGTGACGGACCTCATCCGTCACCCGTCCTTAAGGGGTTAAAACCTCTCATAATGTTATTTTGCACCTTTGTAGAGTTACTTTTAACATACTAACATCTCTACACCCACATAAAGGTACGCTTAGAACTAATTTATATTGCCTTTTGCAGCATAGGAAGTACTTATCATTTGCTGCATAACAGAAATTTTTTTTTTTTTTATGAACGGTTATATTGAATTTATTTGACACACATTTACATAGTTACATAGTTACATGGCTGAAAAGAGACTTGCGTCCATCAAGTTCAGCCTTCCTCACATTTATTTTTGCTGTTGATCCAAAAGAAGGCAAAAAAACCCAGTTTGAAGCACTTCCAATTTTGCAACAAACTAGGAAAAAAATTCCTTCTTGACCCCAGAATGGCAGTCAGATTTATCCTTGGATCAAGCAGCTATTACCCTACATTGAAATATTATATCCTTGAATATTCTGTTTTTACAAGTATGCATCTAGTAGCTGTTTGAACATCTGTATGGACTCTGATAAAACCCCTTCTTCAGGCAGAGAATTCCACATCCTTATTGTTCTTACAGTAAAAAAAACCTTTCCTTTGCCTTAGACGAAATCTTCTTTCTTCCAGTCTAAACGCAAGGCCTCGTGTCCTCTGTAAAGTCCGGTTTGTGAATAGATTTCCACACAATGGTTTGTATTGGCCCCGAATATATTTGTATAATGTTATCATATCCCCTCTCAGGCAACGTTTTTCTAAACTAAAGAGGTTTAAATTTGTTAACCTCTCTTCATAGCTGATATGTTCCATTCCTTTTATTAATTTTGTAGCCCACCTCTGCACTTTTTCTAGTGCCATAATATCCTTCTTTAGAACAGTTGCCAAAATTGGACAGCATATTCCATATGTGGTCTTACCAGTGATTTATAAAGAGGCAAAATTATATACTCATCCCGAGAATGAATGCCCTTTTTCATGCATGACAATACCTTACTGGCCTTAGCCACTACTGATTGACATTGCACATTGTTGCACAGTTTGTTGTCTATAATAATTCCTAAGTCCTTTTCATGTGTTGTTATCCCTAATTCGCTTCCATTAAGGGTATACGTTGCATTTTTCAACATTAAATTTCATCTGCCATTATGTGCCCAGTCCCCCAGTCTATCTAAATCCCTCTGCAGCAAAGGAATATCTTGCTCACATTGTATCACTTTACAGAGTTTTGTGTCATCTGCAAACACTGAAACATGACTTTCAATGCTTTTTTTCAAGATCATTTAAAACGTTAAATAGAAGGGGTCCCAGAACAGAACCCTGAGGGACACCACTTGCCACCTCTCTCCATCTTGAAAATTTACCATTAATGACAACTCTTTGTACACTATTTTTAAGCCAATGTTCTACCCAAGAACAAGCATTTTCATCTAGACCGATTTCCTTGAGTTGGAACACTAATCTATTGTGTGGAACTGTATCAAACGCCTTGGCAAAATCCAAATAGATCACATCGACTGCAATACCCTGATCTATACTTCAACTTACTTGTTCATAGAACGCAATCATATTCGTTTGACATGACCTGTGCTTCATGAAACCATGCTGATTTTTTGTTGATAACCATGTTCTTCTCAATGAATTCTTGAATATTATCCCTTAATAACCTTTCAAATATTTTCCCAGCCACAGAAGTTAAGCTCACAGGTCTATAATTTCCAGGCAAGGATTTTGAATCCTTTTTGAATATAGGAACCACATCTGCCTTCCTCCAATCCTCTGGAACACTTCCTGAAAGAAAGGAATCTTGAAAGATTATAAACAGAGGTTCACTTATTTCTACACTTAAGTACTCGTGGATGAATACCATCAGGCCCTGGTGCTTTGTTTATATTAACTTTCTTTAGTTGCTGCAGCACCTTGTCTTGAGTTAACCAATTACAATTATTTTGCAAGTTTTTAGCAGCAATCATTTGCACATCTATTGCCATGGGTTATTCCTTAGTATATATGGATGAGAATAGTTATTTAAGATTTCTGCCTTTTCCTGGTCTTCATTTTGAAGTTTAGCGAATCTAATTGCCTTTTTGCACGCATTATTGGCTTCCTTATATCTTTTATAGGATGCATCTGATTTGTCTGATTTAAATGCTTTAAATGCCCTTTTCTTATTTTTAATCTCTTGTTTTACTTCTCTACTAAGCCACATTGGATTTAATTTGTTTCTTTTATATTTATTTCCCAACGGTACATACTGAGAAATGTATCTTTCTAATATTTGTTGGAAGATGATCCATTTATCCTCAGTATTCTTTTCACTAAAGAGTTTATGCCAGTCAATATATTGTAAAGCTGTCCTTAACTTATAGAAATTGGCCTTTTTAAAATTATATGTTTTAGTATACCGCATGTTCTTTTGTTTTTTTGAGTTTATTTCAAAAGACACTATATTGTGATCACTGTTTCCCAAGTGCTCACCTACTTGAATGTTGCTGAAAAGATCAACGTTGTTTGTTAAAACCAGGTCCAAACAAGCGTCCTTTCTAGTTGGTGCTTGTAAAAGTTGTGACATGAAGGTGTCATTTAACAAATTCAATGCTGAGGATATAAGTAAATATATATTTTTAAGTCTTCTAACCTATGCTCTTGGCACTTTGAAGGACCACTAAAGGCATCCAGACCAAGATAATTTTAACACTTCACAGTAAAACATTGCTGTTTCTGACTTCAGTACCGAGATAAACTCAGTTCTTCAATCAAATGCTGCTTATAGAGAGTATTTTTTGGAGGAGCATGGCATTTTCCCATGTTATTATTATTATTATTTTGTGTAGTGGAGGGGCCTGGATGGGACATACTTGTGTCTTAGTGAAGGTAGGTAGGTTGTAGCAGCATTGTGCAGCGAATTGTAAGCAAACGCTAGAATTTTAAATACTTTATGGGAAGCCAGTCTAAGCACTGAGAGATGGGGAAGAAATGGAAGGTGAGGGCAGACAGGAAGATGAACCGTGCTGCTGCATTCATTATGGAAATGTAACAGGGCCAACTGGGAACACGTAAGACCACTGAGAAGTGGGTTGTAGTGGTCAAGGGAATGATAGCAGCATGCACCAGCACCTTGGCCGCATCCTGCGTTAGATTGGACGGGGGGGTGCAAGCAATGTTTTTTCGACAGAAGTGGCAGGATTTTTCAAGTGATTGGACTTGAAGGGTGAAGGAGAGGTTAGAGTTGAAGAGAACAACAATGCAGCAAGCCTGCAGGATAGAGCTGATGGTAACTCCATTGACTTGGAGTGTGATATATATGGGTGTAGCAACAATCATGGAAGGAAAGACACTATAGTCTTCAAAACAACGTCAGCTTAATTCAGCGGTTTTAGTGTACAAATCATGCCTCTGAAGTTTCACTGTTCAGTTATCTGCCATTTAGGAGTTAAATCCCTTTGTTTCTGTTTATGCAGTCCTAGTCACACATCCCCTGGCTTTGACTGACACAGCTGGCATTAAAAAAATTTAACTTACATTAAATGTTTTTGATCTCTTGCTCTGTCAAGAACTTTAATTACATAGAGGAGGCTCCTATTGGGTCTATCAAGCTTTTAACAGAATAGAAGATAATATTTTTGGTAAATTAAACAGAATTTACAAAAAAGGAAGTGTAAACATTAGATGACACTTTACAGGAAGTGTTTAGGAATGCTGTGCAAGTCACATGCAGGGAGGTGTGACAAGGGCTATATAAACAAAGGGATTTAACTCCGAAATAACAGAGAAATGCGCAGTGAAATTGCATGGATATAATCTATACACCAAAACTGCTTCATTAAACTAAAGTTGTTAGTGACTATTGTGTCCCTTTTAAAAAATGAGCTGCCATCCAGTTGGAAATAGCAGAGAGGCAGTCAGAGACATGATTCAAGAGGGACAGTGAGAGATCAGGACAGGACAGATAGATTTGCGTGTCATCCACATAAAAATTATATTGGAAGCAAAAAGAGCTGATGAGTTTATGAAAGAGGCAGTATATATGGAGAACTGTAGGGGGCTAATGAACACCAACGCTTTGGGGTACACGAACAAAGAGGGGTTGCAGAAAGAAGTTGCAGAGGAGAGGAAGAGCCAGAAAAATAAACACTAAAAATACTCTAGAAGAGGTGGTAAGAGAACCAGGAAAGTGCAGTTTTGTAGACCATTCTCCTAAGCAGCAGAAAGGTCCAGGAGGATTAGGAGAGAGTAGCGACCACTGGATTAGCAGCAATTAAATAATTGGATACTCTGGTCAGGGCAGTTTCAAGATATTAATCAGTTTAGAATCCAGACTGAAGCGGGTCTAGAAGAGAGTTGGATTTCATGAAGTTGGTCAATCTAGCGTACACAACTCTCTTGAGGATATTGGAGTCAAATGGAAGTAGCAAGATTGGGGCGGTATTTGGATGGGGAATTAGGTGGGACGTTTGTTAGAATTTGGGTGATGGATGCATGCTTGAAGGTTGAAGGAAATATGCAAAAGGAAAGGGAGAGATTGAATATTTTAGTGAGAGGCAAAACCAGAGAAAGAGACATTGCGTGAGTGAGATGTGAGGTACATAATTTAGGGAGCAAGTGGTGGGACTGGAGGACCAATGTAAAGCAGAAATCTTTGCTGGTATAGTGGGTGCGACTGAGCATAAAACAGAGCAGGGTGCTGGGATGGGGAATATATAGGCAATGGTAGGACAGAAATTAGAGATCTCTTTACTGATCATGAAAATCTTCTGAAAGTAAAGTGCTTTGCAAAGTTAGTGGTGGTCAGTTTAGTAGGAAAAGCAGCAACAGGGTGAAGAAGAGTGTTAACAGTGTGAAAAAAAGAGGTTGGGTTCTCAGGAGAGTGTGGTTATGAGGGTGTTGAAGTAGTTTTCATTTGTGGAGGAAAGAGCCAGACTGTAGAAGCATGGCATGAATGTATAATGGAGGAATTCAGACACAGGAGTCAGGAGTTCAGCAGTTATGGAGCATTTTTGGAAGCAAAGGGTCAGTTTAGCACGCAATGATTGTAGCTGGGGTCGCTTGCAACGTTTAAAAAAATGGAGGTGCCATACTATCCAGTTCAGAGGAGAGGGTGGAGTTGTAAAGGGAGGTTGCAGAACTAGGGTAGGTGATGTTTGAGATGGGTAAAAGTTTGGAGGGTTGTTCATAATTCTTGTAGGTCAAGACAATGGAGGTTTCAACGAGACTTATGTACTGAGGTTGGTGTGAAATGGGTATGAAGTATGCCAATGTTAATGATCAGCAGATGGTGGTCAGATAGAAGAAATGGAACATTGGAGAGATTAGAGACAGTACAAAGGATTGACCTGGTATTTGAACCTATAAGAGAAAACAAATAGTTTGTAATGCATTGTAACTAAATTATAACAACTCTGGTTTTATGTATCTTTTAAAGCAATTACACACTCATCTTCCCAACCTTTAAATAATCTATTCTGCGGGTGCCCCTATTCTAAGAGAGTGTGAGTTAAAATGTTCTAGTCCCTGGCCTAATTTCTCCAAACATTTCCTAAGAATTAATCTAAACTGATATCTTTTAAGTGGACTTCCATTTTCATGTATTAAGAGAGGACCTGGGTTTGCCCATCATACAGTTAAAATAAATAACAAAAATTTAACCGGGCAAAATGAGAAATTGAAAGCATTAATATTGACACATTTCCCTTTGCCCTCTCTGTCAGTTTTAGGTTTCAGAAGGAAAATAGACAAACTAGAAGTTCACAAGCTACTGTCCTCAATTCCTAAACCTGAATGCTTAAACTTAGTTTCGGAAACCAATTTATTTGAAAGTGCAGCAAAAAAGGCTAATAGAAAGGCAACTTGGAAAAGCTGAACTTATAATCATTTGAACATAACTTCTTATAAAACATGAATTAACTGTTTCAATAACTGAAACGGTATTGGTTTCCTGGTATCTTTGCAATTTTCTTTTCCAACATAACCTTTAATCATTTGTTGTATTAAAAATATTTCGCCACCAACTTACCGACCAGCGGTTTTAAAAATAATTTAATACCGCATATAGCCCTTCTTAGTGAAGGGTTCACAATATGCGCATCAATTTGACGCATAAAGAAATAAATAGCCTGGCCTAAATCTGCATTTAAAGGATCAATCTGACTCTCTTTCATAAATTTGCACCAAACCTTCCATGCATTAATGTATGCCACCCAAGCTGAGCTCATCATTGAACTCTGCAATAAGCTGTTCAACCTGGTGATATTAATTCCCACACTTCCAGTAGAATTTTAATGGGTTTCTTCTCTGCATTTGGGGCGCGTTTCTTGAAAAGTGAAAACTGGAAACGAGAAATAGCCAGCTATTAAATTGAGTTTTACTTCTATATGCATAGCTTTTAACCAGATATTATTCCAAAGCAGAGTAAAACCAATCTCCGTAATAATGTAACAACGTGTGGGGATGAGGCATGTAAAGAATATATTGCATCTACCACACTACGGTTGTTACACACAACTCAAATTCTCTTATTGGCAAAATCAGCACGCCTGACACAACCACAATTGGAAATAACTCTATTAAGGTCATGTTCCTTGTCCAACCTTCTAAAATCCAGCTCACCGGTCATCTGCCAAAACCCCATTTACCATTCCAATAAACTCCAAAGCTTTGCTTACCTTTGCTTACACTGTTAATTGGACTACTGCAGCTGAAACTGCAATGTACTCTTTAATCTCTCTCGTAACACCCAATACCTGCTGAATTGTTCTAACTGTGACTTTTTTAGCACTTTTAATCTGAGATAATATTGATGAGAGCATAATGATTTTATCTTGCAGAAGACAGAATTCCATCTGTATATTCTGTTGCAGAATGCCCAGAAATTGTAAGAAAGAAGTTGGCAAGACTGTTTTGTCCCTAGCTAGAGGAAAACCAAAATCTTTAGCCAATTCACATAATGTGTTAAGCAAATATTCAAATTCCTTGATCCCTAGGTGTCAAATAAATGTAAATTTTTTTTCTAGGTAATGAACCATAGAACCTAAACCAGTTTTAAACTTCAAAACCCATTCCAAAAAAGTTGTAAATAACTCAAAGTAGAAATAGGAAATTGAGGAACCCATAGTTATTTATCATAGTAAAATTGCCCATCCAGCTGAAAACCTAAGAAATGCTCTATATCAAGCATGTCTAACTCAAATATTAGCTAACATGCAGACTCCTCTCACATAGTTGCCACCACCATATTCAACACCGGAGGCTAGCCTCTGGTATACCCCCAATGGTGCCATCCCACTACTCCTTGAAACCCTGTGAAGGTGGAGCACGTTAACATCACGTGCCTCTGTGCGCTCCCAGGTCCTACACTGTTCAGTTGCAGCCCTTGCAAAACTGATGCATGGCACCAGGACCACCCCTCCTATTAATAATGAATATCTTTGCTACGCTGCAAATTCCGTGGGCTGCCGCAAATTTCACATGCTTCTTATTAATTTTTGCCACTGCAATTTCTTTTAATTTTAGATTTTCTTTCCAACTAAAGCTATCTGAATAAAACAACGGGGATTTTAAAACCATAAACAAAACTTTCAATATTTATTTAGACTTACTCCTGATTTGACTAAATTCTTAAAAAATTAAGCATTTTCTCCTATTTCACTAGTATCACTACTTTTTGGTACTGCAGAGAATTGTGTTTAAATATTTTGAAGCTGGGTGTAAAGGACAAAGTGCATTTTTGCTTATATACAACTATTAAGCCAGTGGCATACATACAATCCATGGGACCCCGGTGCGAAACTGATCCATGCTCCCCCTTCCCTGCTTCTTCCCCCCCTCCTCCCCAACAGACACTAACACACAGACAGACACACATACATACAAAGACACATACATACATACATACAAACAGACAGGCACACATACATAAATACAGAAACACAGACAGACACATACATACAGACACACACACGCATACAGACAGACACACACATACAGACAGACACACACACACAAGACACACATACATACAAAGACACATACATACTTACAGACAGGCACACATACATACAGACACACACGCACACATAAACACACACACAGACAGACACAAATCGTCCCGCGCGGACTTTGTGTATGCTGGGAGGAGTGACCGGGGCAGTCGCTTCCTCCCAGCGTGTGATGTCATCACAGGATTTAACAGAGCGACCGGGCCCCCTGAAAATCCATACCCATTGGGGACCCTAACAGCATGGACCACCCGATGTACCCCTTGAATGGTAGTCCCGACAGTTTTCCGTGCCCCCTGGAGCGACCCCTATGACCCCTATATGTACGCCAGTGTATTAGGCCATCTACACTGGGAGTCATTAAAAGACCAGCACAAACCACGTTTTTGTCCAGACACATTAGTAGCAGAAGCTGGATTGTAAGAAGTAACACATTGTCTTTGTGGTAACGTTATGCTAACCCACAATCCTTCATATTCTTATGTACGTAAATCTTTTGCCTTAATAAATCATCATAATTCAACCATGCAAGGCTGACAAAATTCTTGTAAGCCTCTAGAATGTATTATATGTGCTGAAATAGTCCCATACTCAATAATGGCTGTTTTTCACATATAATGCTAACACAAATACAGAATGACTGCAACCAGTTAGTCAATGACCTAGGCCTAGGGATTGGTTTGCATCATTCCTCCTCCTTTATCTTTATCCTTCCTAAGTAAAAACTCCTTTGTAGCAGGGAATAAAGATAATATATCAATGTAATCTCTCTTCCAATGTTTCTCTTTCATGGATGTACTTCAATGGCAACCTAGAGGTGACATTTCATAGATTGAAACAATTCTCATCTACTCTGTTAAATTTAGGACACACGGACAACTTTAGCATTATCCAAAGCCAAACCTGCACCAGTCTGAATACACAGTAACACATCTTTAAGTAAACCCATTATTTCCCCCAGCTTCAATAAACCAGATACCCCAGGGAAGCACACACCAGTTTTGAGTTTTGAAGAGACACAACAGGTTGCAGCTGTCGAGGTTTCCCCTGTGCAGCAGCAGTCTCAGGGGCTAAGCCTCTTCTTGCCTAAGCCAATTGATGAAGGAGAGAAACATATTTTGGGTTGAGGAATCCTCTTCTTCCCCAGGTGTCTGGAGTTCTGTGAAATAAATAAAGTTTCTCCCTGACCGCTGCAATGAGGCTGTGAGTTCCAAGCCTCATTTTCTCTTACACCTGCTCCATGCTGACTTTATCTCTATAATATTTCAATAGTGAAATAGCCGGTGCCTGTTCATCCTCCTCACATTTCGCATAGGCTGCTACAGAAGGGGCTGATGCCAGGTGACTCCTGAGCTACTCATCTACCTGAGAACGCCTAGCTCAGGGGTTCTCAACCCAGTCCTCAGGACCCCCTACCAGTCCAGGATTTGGGGATTACCTGGGTGTGTCTCAGGTGTTTAGAAAAAGGGAAAAAAACACCTTAGACTCTAAGGTGTTTTTTTTTCTTTTTCTAAACACCTGAGACGCACCCAGGTAATCCCTAAACCCTGGACTGGTAGGGGGTCCTGAGGACTAACGTTGAGAACCCCTGGCCTAGCTTCTTCCTCCAGATGGAGTAACAGATCTTCTATTAGTGCTGACAGGGTACAGAGCTTTGCTTATCCTGGTAGGCTGATGGAAAAGTTTTAGCACATCAAAAATGCTGCCTTATATATAACTACAGGGCTGCATGAATTAGATGAATTCTAGCCAATCAGATTATTGGGTTTTGTGCCATTTTTACCATGAAAATCCAGTTAAAAAATGCCAAATATCTGTCTCTATCTACACTACTTGACCTACATGACCTAAACTTGTCTCCGCTGTCAACTATGTCCATCAATGGACAGCTACAGTGCTGGCTATAATGTTAGTGCTTTGCAATTCCAAGGGGTCTGCTCTCAGCCAGAGGACAGATTCCACAGGCAGACCACCGGAACAGCAGCTGGACCACCAGGAGATAAGGATCAGAGCCACCCTCACTGCAACAAGTTAAGCAGGAGGTGGACTTATCTAAAATGAATAAATAAATAATTATGCAGCAATATGTGGGGAGGCTGAACAGGGAAATACAGCCTCCCCATATATAACCTACTCCTCTACACCAGGGGTCCTCAAACTACGGCCCGCGGGCCAGTTCTGGCCCGCCAGGGTCCTGAACCCGGCCCAAGCACTCAGGGCCACCCGATGGGCCCTATATCTTCAGGGGCCCGGTCAGCACTGCGGCCGTGCAATAGCGCGACCGGGCCCCTTTAAAAATTTGCAGCCGCAAAGTAGTGGGAGGGAAGGGAAGAAAAATAGGCTGCGGGAGCCTCGCTGACTCCCATCAGCCACAGCCATCCTCCAGGAAAAAAAGTAAGGAAGATTAGCTGTGTGTGTGTATGTATGTATGCATGCATGTTTGTCAATATGTATGTCTGTCTGTGTTTGTGTGTATGTATGTGTCAATCTGTATGTATGCCTGTATGTATGCCTGTATGTATGTCAGTATGTGTTTGTATGCATGTATATGTATGTCTATATTTCAGTATGTATGTCTGTGTGTGTATGTATGTATGAATGTATTTCTGTATGTGTATGTACTTTAGTATGTATGTGAGCGTGTTTGTATGTATTTAAGTATGTCAGTATGTATGTTTGTGTGTGTGTATGTATTTATGTCAGTATGTATCTGTCTGTGTCTGTCTATCTGTGTATGTGTGTATGTATGTCAGTATGTGTATGTCTGTCTATCTATCTGTATGTATGTCAGTGTGCGTATGTATGGCTGTGTGTATGTATGTCAGTATGTGTGTGTATGTATGTCAGTATGTATCTGTCTGTGTCTGTCTGTCTGTGTATGTGTGTATGTATGTCAGTATGTGTCTGTTTATTTATCTGTATGTATGTCAGTCTGCGTATGTATGGCTGTGTGTATGTATTTCAGTATGTATGTCTGTGTATGTAAGTCAGTATGTGTATGTATGTCTGTCTGTGTGTATGTATTTCAGTATGTGCGTGTATGTATGTATGTCAGTATGTATATGTCTGTGTCTGTCTGTGTATGTGTGTATGTATGTCAGTATGTGTCTGTTTATTTATCTGTATGTATGTCAGTGTGCGTATGTATGCTGTGTGTATGTATTTCAGTATGTATGTCTGTGTATGTATGCCAGTATGTTTATGTATGTATGTCTGTGTGTATGTATTTCAGTATGTGCTTGTATGTATGTATGTCTGTCTGTGTGTGTGTATGTCAGTATGTATGTGTTTGTATGTATGTGTATGTCTGTCTGTATGTATTTCTGTATGTATGTGTATGTCAGTATGTATGTATGTGTGTATATGTCAGTATTTATATGTCTGTCTGTCTATGTATGTCAGTATGTATGTACGTCTGTCAGTATGTAAGTGTGTGTGTGTATGTATGTCCTTATGCGTGTTTGTGTCTGTATGTATTTTAGTATGTGTATGTGTGTCTGTATATGTCTATGTGTCTGTTTCACTATGTATAGGAATTCTATCGTTAGTCTTGGGGGTTCATCTAATATAGTCCTCATTTCCTGTTCGATGCTCTCCCAGTACAACTTTATTTTCCTGCAGTCCCACCATATATGTCTCAGTGACCCTGTTTCCTCGTTGCATCTCCAACAGGTGTCCGGTATGTCCGTTATATATCTGTGAAGCGTGTCCGGCGTGCGATACCAGTGCGTCAGTATTTTGTAGTTCACTTCCTGGAAGTGTGAGCTAGAAGAGCTCTTGTGCTGGAGGATCAGGGTCTTTTCCCATTGGACGTCTGAAAAAGTCATAGCTGCCCATTCCTCCCATTGCCTTTTGTAGAGATTATTTTTTGTTCTGTGACTCATTATTAAACATTGGTAAATCGTTGAGACCTTCCCATCTGCCTTGGGTGATTGTGTGCATAATGTCTCGTACCAAGTTAGTTCCCTGTGGATTTTGGGCCTATTTGGTAGGTTGTAGTAATAGTGTTTTAATTGGGCATGGTGGAATTGGTGCATAAGCGTGGTTGGCCTCCCCTCCGCTATGTCCCTGAGCGGTTTCACTCCAGCGTTGGTGAGAACTTTGTGTATTGGTATATATCCGTCCTGGTTGTCTGTCGGCCAGGCTGACGGCGGGAGTCCATCTCCCAGGCTGCCGTTATGTTTAATGGGTATAAGTGGGCTCGGTTTGGGTCAGATTAGTTGTCCTTTTCTCAGTGTGGTCCAATGCTTCAGTGTCTGTGTGATGGGGGAGTCTTCTCCTAGTTGTGCTTCCCCTTCTCTGTGCCAAATAAGTGTCTGTAGTTGGTTGTCCGTTGTGTCTCTCCAGAGTGTGACCCAGCGTTTGTTGGGTGAGGTTATGTGGAGTCCTCTCAGTCTCTGTAGAACCGTGGCCTGGTGATATCGTTTGAACTCTGGTAGGGCCAATCCTCCCCAGCTCCTCGGCAGACATAACTTGTCATAACTAATACGTGCCCTATTGCCCCGCCAGATATAGTGTATAATCACTGTTTTGAGTGTTGCAAAGAATGTGTGTGGTATCATCTGTGGCGTGGTGTGGAAAAGGTATGGAATCAGTGGCAGGACATTCCTTACCCTGCCAGTTGATCACTGCCTACAGTGATCAAAATACAGATCACAGTATTATACTGTGATCTAATTTTTTTTAACCCCTGAGGATGAACTTTTATTAGTTTTTTAACCCTCAGGGGTTCAATTTATTTAATTAATTAATTTAAATATTTTATAATTATATATTTTGCTAGATGGGGTGGGAGCTATGGGGAAATGGGGAATTTACTGTTAGTGCTACTTACTGCTAGTTAGGAGTTAACAGTAAAAAAAAAGCTTAGAAAAATGTTAAATCTGTAAAAAAAGTTTGAACTTAGTGGCACATATGAAATATACAAAATGCCCAGCAAAAATGTAATCCGTATGTAAAAAATGCCCAAAATTATTTTTTACCACATACTTTGGCATATATTGGTGAACAAATGGGGGCATGTTAAGGCACAATATGCACCATATGAGATACCCTGGAGTGTCTACTTTTACAAATGGTAGGCCTTTGTGGTTTTTTTTTTGAACAGTCAAACTGCTATAATACCCCAAATTGAAGCATAAGCCCATTAAATCCGTCTCTCAAAATTCTACTGTAAATACTGAAAAGGACAGGTCTCCTATATGGCACTGTAGCTTTTTGAAATAGTGCCAAAGACATACAATGGGGGTATCGTTGTACTCAGCAGATGTAGCTGAACACAAAATAAAGTTTTGCACAGGAATAGCACACACCAACTTTACAAAATACACCTGAGAAGTTCTTTGTTTTAAGTTTGTGTGCGAAAAACCAAAAAAACACAATTTTACTCCAATATATAGCAGAGATTGGCGGTGAAATGGCTATGTAGAAAGTGTCAAAACAACCGTAGGACAATAGCATGTGATGTCTACTTTATATAAATATATACTTTTGTGTGGCAATTTTGTTTTCTTTTATGGCTATTAAGCTTACAAGACAAACATACCAAATTCTAAAATTGCTCCACATTAAAAGTTTATTTTACTCCTTGTCCTTTGTGACCTGTAACTACCAAAAAAAAACTTAAAATCCCAGACACATTATATATTCTGTAAATCGGAACAGCTAAATGAATTTATTTTTAATTACTTTATTTAACCTGCACTAATTATGCACACATTATTATTGCAAAAACTGTAAAAAAAACACAAAATCTTTTTTTTTGCATTTTTCGGTATTTTTTTTATAATAAATAAGCATATATACATATATATATATATATATATATATATATATATATATATATATGTTACATCAAATTAAAGCCCTTTCTGTCCTTTAAAAAACGGTATATAATATGTGTCGGTGCAATAAATGAGTAAAATGCATATTACAGTTGAATGCAAACAACAAAAAATGCTGTTGTCATTAAGTGCAAGACAAGCTTCTGAAGCACTGTCCTTAAGGGGTTAATTGGTGTCTATTCTCCTGGTTGCAAGTAAATATTTCAGCTTTCCCACTCGATGAAAGCATGAGGATTTCTAAATAACTGGCCACATGTGCTTGCATAGCCCTGATCACCTCAGATTTTAAAATGGCAACGTTGATGGAGGACTCTATTTCTGTGTCTTTCACAGATATGGTGGTGGTCTCTCCTAGAGACAGCCCCATCAATGTTAGAAGGCTCCATAAGATAGCTTTCCTTGCCAGGGACCTATCCTCTTCATTTTCTGAGGAGGATATGGTCCCAGTCACCTGTAAAAGAAAAAAGAAGGGCTGCCTTTCATCTTCTTCAAGTTCTGATGGTGAACATGATTTTGGTCCCTCTTCCTCTCACTCTCATTTGAGTAGCTGACAATTTAAAGGGACAGTACATCCAAAAGCCAAACGTGTGTTTCCCCCGTTTGAGGTTTCTAACCAGTTTTCACACAAAAGGAATAAAACTCGTTTAGGTGCTGTCAGCCCCTCACCGACCTTAAGACCATTTGCTCATTCATCCTCCCTAAGCCGGTCCTGCTAAAGACAGGGATCACCTGAGATTGATTGGGAGTCTGAGGAGGTGGTTTTCTCTGCAGCTTCCACTGAACGAGGGAAGTTGAGCAACATTCAGATGGCCAGGGTGAGCCTTTTAGGTAAAGTGCTCCCTTCAAAATTGTTTCATTCCAGATGGTCCATCGAGCAAGAGTCAGAAGTCAGTGATTTTGCCAAACTAGCTTTCAGATTCCCGCTAGTTAAAAAGGATCATCTCCTCCTTAGAAACCATATTGTATCCCTGATATTCAGGCACTAATGGCTCCTGAAATTGATCCAGCACTATTATCCATTACAGAACGCAGTGTTTCTGGGGATCCCATGGATCAGACGTTTCGCAATATACAGTTCAAAATTGCGGATGCTGTTGGCTCCTTCTGCTTATGTTGGATAAGGCAGAGAGGGAGAGATCCTCTCATAACCCTTCTCTACCGGCACTTTTTAAAGCTTCCAGCAGAGGGGCTGCACTCACCCGGACATGCATAAATAGGGTGCTGTTGGGGCCAATTTATACAATACACAAGATCCAGCACAAGTGTAACGAATCACCTGGCACCCCGACTGGGTACCTCTGTTGATGGAAGCTCGTAGTGCTTCCCAAGGGCTCCAAGCACTCCACTTGACACCATAGCACTGCAGACCCTACGAACCGCCGCAGCTTGATTGGGGTTTCGCCGTCTCCTACCCACCCTGGATCTACGACAAGGCTCCAGACTCCAGTGGGTAAACCTCTCCAGGCTCCAGTGGGTGAACCTCTCTTCCTTCAGAGAGCGAAGCAGGAACAAGCTCTTAAAAGAGCTTAGTGATTATAGCCAGGGGAGTAAACAGCGTATAGCAATCCCCAGTGTAGATGCAGCCTTTTCCCCCACACATGCGACGAGGCTCTATGTTGAAGGTAAAACAGGAACTCAGCAGTCTGAGGGTTTATTGTCTTATATGCAAGTTTTCCCACAAAGTTACCACCCATGTGGTCTTGTGGAACAGCCAATCAAACACATTACATTATAGTCAGACACTCCCAGCTAAGGCACACAGACCCTCCCCTCTGCCTTAATTATAACTTAATTATCACAGGCAGAAAATATACAGTTTTATACAATATTCATAACTTCCAAACCATACATGCAATTCACATAAAGGTCACCAATTTTGAACCAGCATAAGCAGTATATAAACATATGTCAGACTCATACAAATTGGTCCAGTGGTTCAAAAGTTAGGTGGAATTCCTATTTGACCGACTGCAAGCATGGCTTTTCTGCCCAAATCAGTTCCATAGATTTAGGCTGTGCAGCCTATCTTCTCCTTTATCCTGGAGATAATTGGCTTAAGTAACTGTAGTAAACTCAATTATCTCCATGTACATAAAATATCACTAAGTCACAACTGCAACAAAACACATTCAAATACATAACTAATATTCTACAGAACTGAACCCCTACATTTGCGCTCACTACAGCTGAACAGCGCTCAGATCCCACGAACACAGTCAAATCGCCATGGGGTTAAACAATAGCAAGGGCTGATGAGAGATTGAGGAGGGACAAAGCAGCCAGTTTCAACTGGTCTGGCAGTGTCGCTGGGACAACGCCCTGCTGGAGAACAATGGGACAGGAAACGGGGGAGGGGAAGAGGCACACCTTCCCATGGATTCAAAGGGGCAGAAAAAGTGTCCCAAAATCCAATAAGCCCAAACAGACTTTTTAAATGGCAATACTTCCCAAGGTCCATAGTCACAAGGCAAGAGGCTGGCATGCAGGCCTCTCCAAGAACAAGTGGTGAAGGGCACTTTGTCACAACAAGATCCAGCGCACTGACTTATCCACTAAACAGCAACTTTATTGTTGACATATTTTATTGGTTTTAAGCAATATATGACCATATCATGTAACTAAACCCCCATTATTTTTGCCTAGATTAGATGTTAAAAAAAAAACAAAAAACTAATAAACTCTGTCAACATAGAAGTTGCTGTTTAGTGGATAAGTGCGCTGGATCTTGTGTATTATATATATTCTGTTTCTCTTTACAGATTACAACGGGCTTCCCAGACAGGATCAACAAGCCAAGGACCCTCCTAAATAGTTTTTCTGGATGTTAAGAAAATTATTTCAGAAGTTCTTTGTTTATGAGTTATCCCAATATTTCTCACAAAGGCTGTTTGCCTTGTCACCTTTAAGATCTAGGATTGTTTTGTTACATTTTCACATGTTACTATTAACTGTCAGTACTCGAGAAATGTTTCTTTTCTATTGTTACTTTATTATACTGTCCATTCACTGTGTTTCTATAACATTTACATAGGTGTATATTCTTGTTTGGTTGAGAAAATAAAATATTGTTACCCTGCCCTTATATTGGCATTAGTGACTCTTTCCTCTTTTTATTATATACTAGTACATTGTGTGTTTTTTTATACATTGATTTCTACCCTACATCAGGGGGTTCTTTGTCTCTGGATGAGTTAACCATCTGCAGTATCCCGATTTTAAAATCTGAGGTGATCAGGGCTGCCGCGAGCTGCACGGCTGTCCTGATCAACTGATTGGCTGAAACGCTGTTGTTGTGCAGGAGCACAGCACAAGCGTTTTAGCTCGGCAAAATATTTTTCCGGGAGGCTGCCACATACCCACTAGCTTTGCTAGGTGGTTATTCTCAACCCTAGGACACAGAAGGTTTGCAGGCCATAGATTCCTGCAAACTCTATTAAGATCTCTAATCACACTAAGGTTAAGGACTTTTTGAGGTTTGTTTACTGAAATTCTTTTAACCAAAAATACAAAATGAAGAGGAAAGGAAACATAACAGAGTCTCCATATAAATCAAATATAGCATAACAAATGTACAGAAAGATAAGGATAACAACATAAATCTACTGTAATTTTCAGAAAAATAAAGCAAGGTACCAAGTAAAACTATTTTGGAATTTATGCTGCAGGGTGAGACTCTTATAAAATGGGAAAGAAGAAAAAAAAAATTACATTGTGACAAAAATATTCACAACTACTGAGACATTTAAATCCATGTTAACATGATCTTTTATGAGTTAAGGTAATAACAGTGAGCGATAAGAGAACGGAGCTCCAAATTTCACTGAGCTGAAAGACTCCAAGATCAAATTAAAAAAAAGAACACATTCTGCTTATTATCAGAGCTATTGCATAGATTAAAATGGTTAAATAATAGGATGAATAATGTTTTCACACATTATTAGCATACCTATGCCATTGGATCATAGAGACAAATCAAGTTACAATTCAGCTCTCTAGAGTTTCTTTTACAGTATGAAACAGTCATGGTTCCTTTAAGAAATTATTCCAGCCTTCTACTCTAAAACATGTTAACATGTCTGTTTTGTACCAGAAATTAGCTGGCCCTTTAAGCAACATTCCTACCCTTATAGAGGCATCAGTTTTCATTCTAGCATCCTCACAGAGAGCAAAAGCAATTAAAAGAAAACTACACCCAAATAGCCAGCAGTTATTCAACCTTTATCCACTTGATAAGAGCAGTATTCACCCTCGGGGTGCTGCACTTGCGAGCAATGAATACACTTCTCGGGTGAATGAACATAACAGCTCAAACTGGTCCCGTCTCTATGCATCAGCGTCCACTTTAAATTAATTTATTTTATTTATAATTTTGTTCAGCCGATGCTCATTATTTTCCGGGGCACTGGGTGTCAGCCTGGGTCCTATTTCTCAAAGCATCTGAGGACGGAGTTATGACTGTTTTGCATAATTCATTCATATTATGTATAGTGCTAACAAATACTCATTGTGCTAGCCATTTCTTCTCTACGGTACCACTGGTTTTGCATATCAAGCAAGGGAACAAGGGACTTTTGGTTAATGGCGTTTGCCATGTATAACAGAAGACCTTCTATCAAGGGGTTTCTCGGTCAATTCCAGTTTGATATATGAGGTTATTATATGCAGGTAATGAATGTTAAGTGGAGCCTGTCACCTACTCTTTGCCTGAAGGACCAAGGCTCCCAAGACACAAATATTGAGGCAGAGCAGCCCTTGGTGTCAGGACAGATGATTATAAGGTCTGTGGCACAAAGTAACTGTGTGCATTGTTCTACAAACAAATGGTGAACTCACGCATTGATACATCTTTAAAAAGAAGTCCTGAGACAGCTCTCCGCCTACATTAGTAACCGATATAATTGCATCATTATTATATTCATTTTGTTGTTTTAAAAACATCTTAATAATAACAATGAGCCTTAGTGATGAATGGGTTTTGCACCATCGGTTCTCTAGTATAGATTGTAAGCTTTTGGTATCAGGGCCTCATTTAATAGTAAGTACTGGAATTTGTATTAACTCTTTTAAATTTATTTTATTGCTATATAGTGCCACTAGTTCCTTTATAATTCATGATTAAAACCCAAAAAGGTTCATATCACACGTATAATTAATTAAATTAAATTAAAGCAAATTAAATAACAAGTACAACAGCATGGTAAAATGATGATGATACGTCCAAAAAGTAATGGAATCTTATCATGTAAATCTGTATTCATGTTTATGACTTTTTCAGGGAATTCCCTTATTCTGGAAACATGCCTCAACTGAAACAATTAAGACGTTACTTAACAAAACAGCAGAAACAAACAAGATATAATTGCTAGCGCTATTACAATGGTATATGGAGACATTGGTTCTGATACACACATTGGATGCAGGAATGAAAGAGAGCAATTATAACGTAAAATAATACGTGATAAGTGGAAAAGGAAGAGAACAAAAAATTATAGAAGACAATATAGCATTAGAAAGGTTACTGTACGTTACAGAATTAAAGGTGAAATGTTTTGTTGTTGTTGGTTTTGTTATTTATGCGTGTCCTTCAATTATTATTGTATGTCTGTCTGTCTATGGTGAGAAGACAATTAATCTCCTAATTTTGGCAAAAAGTGTTCTTATTTTCGCAATTTTGCTTTGCCTCTGCTATTCTTATGGCTGATTTTACAAACTAGTTGCTATAGTTGCTAACACAAAACAACTCGCTGCTAAGTGTATTAACCTCTAGGATTTACAACACTCGTGTTCAAGAGCACATCTTGTCTATGGTTTACTTCTAACTAAAAAGGTCCTTCACCATCTGATCAATATGAAACACGGGAGCAGATGGAAAGAGAGTACATATTTATCCCCCTGAAGACAAATTAAATTTACTCTAATGACCACAAAAGATTCTATTTAGGAGCCAGCCTAACTCCTCCTAAATTATACTTAACACAATTACATGCTAATTACGTTCCAGGGTCAGACCCTCTTAGCAGTAGACACACTGATGCCTGTGACATGTTTAAGGAATTGTCTTCATTAGGATGGGATAAATCAGATTGCTGGAACAGAGTGAAGCTGTCAGATTTTCATTCTTGGAGCTTTTCCTTAGCCAGGTTTTCAGGATCAAAACACTTTACATGTTGATCTATACCGTAAAGTTAATTGTATGATAATGAGTCAATTAGTGAGATTCTAATTCATGTCTCCTGAGGATTAAGTTATGTAACAATGTTAACACAACAATGGAAAACAGAACTATGGGTAACGGGAGGGAATGTAGATCACCCATAATGCACAAGGTACAGATTTGTATGATTGCAATCTTGTGGGACATGTTTTGTATAAGCCCTTTGTTTTAAAGGAAATTTGTACCTAAGATTAGAGGACATGATATGGAAAGTATACAAGGAATTGGCAAATTCCATCACATCATGAGAAACATAGAATGTGACGGCAGATAAGAACCATTCGGCCCATCTAGTCTGCCCAATTTTCTAAATACTTTCATTAGTCCCTGGCCTTATCTTAAGTCTAGGATAGCCTTATGCCTATCCCATGCATGCTTAAACTCCTTTACTGTGTTAACCTCTGATATCCAAATCTCATAATGCTCTTCCAGGTAATAATATCCCTACAAATACTAATTTACTGTAATATATTTCCTCCTCTCATATACAAAAGCATGGGAATAATTTAACAGCAACATTGTATCAGTGGATTGTAACATGTTTTTGCTCTGTTATCTGTGAGAGATATACAGGTAAAGGAATACATCTTTAGCATTTATCTGGAAGACTCACACAATATCTCAGTCTACCTGTCCCACCGTTGCTATTTATCAAACGTTTATATACGTTTATTCCTGACTTTTAAGAGGGGGTTGTCCCTCTCCATCACTTTAAAAATTGTGTTTACTTATCTCAGATATTTAAATATTTATGTTTGGGAGGTATTACAAATAAAATTAATTGCAGAAATCCAGACATCTTTACCCATCAACTGGCTGCCTCCACCTTGCCAGTCCCTGTTTTAAGTGCTCTCCCATGTTAAAATGAGTTAAAATAGGACCCACCAAAATTTAGGTACTGTGACGTAGAGGCGAGCTTAACAAAATATGGTGGAACTAAATCCCCATATTTGTTTGCGAAGATGTTGATTAGAAGTTGATTAATTTTGTAAGATTTGAAATTGTACTTTTTTTTGTGTGTGTGCGCAGTTCCTTAATCTAGATTTTATATTCTGGTCTTAAAGGCAGCCGCACTCCTAAGAAATGCATGTTATGGGGGTGCCCCTTAAACCCCCATTTCTTCGTTCACAGTTTTAAGTGCTATGATTTGTACCTGGTAGTCAGTGTGACGAGAGCAATCTCGCCACATTGCATTGGAGAAGCCTGGTTGCTCACCTGTTGCCTTTGGATTATGGCCCCATGTTAACAGGCTTGATTTTCCCCTGCAAAGACAAGAAAGCCGGGTCATTTGGTGCTTGCCCTGTTTGAGCAGTGATACCCCAGATAGCTATGCCATGGAGCCCATTCGTATAATGAAAGACTATGGGAAAGACTTTGGCTCCATGGCAATTGAACTGTATGTGTGTGCTCTGAGCGCCATTCAGTAATAATGTGCGCTCAGACCTAAGCTATCTGGGCATATGTTGCATGTCTGTATTTTATGTCATAAATGTAACCTTGTGTATTTTATTGTATTTTACTGTCTTTTTGCTGCCATGTGTTCAATGGAGTTTTGCCTCTGTCTTTGGAGATAATTGGATTACTTCTAATTATCTCCAGGATAGAAGACTCTGTGGAACTGGTTTTGGGCAGAAAAGCCATGCTTCCTGTGGTCACAAAGAACTACGATCTATCTTTTGAACCACTGGACCAATTTGTATGATTTTGACGTATATGTATTTGGAGTATGCTGATTCTGAAAATTTTTTTATGTGAATGTGATGCATACTTTTCAAGTTATGAATAATGTGGAAAAATTGTATTTCTCTGCTTGTGCTAAATTACATTACCCATTGTGTAAGGTAATTGAATCACAGGCAGAGGGGAGGAATTTGTGTGGGAGTGTCTGAGTGTATTGTATGTGTTTATTGGTTGTGTTCCAAAACCCTGTGGGTGGTACTAATGTGTAAGAATGTGTACATAAGCACAATAAACCCACAGCTCTGTCTGTTCACTGCTTGACCCTCAACATGGAGCTTTGTCTCGTTCTTGGGGGGATTTACTGTATGCTGTTAGAGACTGATTGCCAGGAGTGTAAGCCGCTTGGGTGCTTTTCCTGTTCAGCTGCTAGCAGCTATTCGTGAGGTTCCAGTTCGGGAGTTTGGAGTGCTACTTGGTATCCTGTTTGGGAGTTTGGGGTTCTGCAGTAGCTGTGCCTGCATCTCTGGAAAGGGGGACGATCGCCTAAACGTTTTTTACCCTTTATGTGCAAAACGGTCCGTTACAGTCAGTATAGAAAGAGCATTCAGAAAAGGGAAGAAAATAAGCAATGTTTCTCATTTTTGCCCTCCGTTGCAGTTCATGCCTTGGTTGTGCCAGGAATGGATTATCTTGTGTGCCAGTTGCTAAATCTTTAATATACATGTAAGAGAACACAGATCATAACATGAAAAAAGGGGAACACAAGCGATAGGTTTTAAAGGTTTTTATTTAGTGGTGATGGTTCCACTTAACTTATTCAAATAAGTTAATAGAGTTTGTTTGGTTTGGAGAGTTTTAGAAGGAAAGAGAAAAATGTAATTATTAGTTATGGAGATTTTCAGTATTTATGCTTTTTATTATTAAGGATTCAATTTAATAAGATTTCCAAATGAATTATTACTGTTGAAAAAACTTTCAAAATAATTTATCTGTAAGAATTCCCATGAACTTTAATGGTGAAGGTCCATGTTCTATTTTCTTCATTTTGTAGTCTGGAGTTCTTTGAAACATATTGATATGATTTTTATTACAACTTTACAGCTATTCCAGATTCAACTATGCTCTCAGGTAGTAAATCCCAAATAGAGTGTATATTGGATCAGTTTGGTTAAGTTCAGAAAAAGGTCCACTCTGTTTCTATTTTGAACATGTCTGTAGGTGTTTTAACCCAAAAATTGCCGCAAATTACTGCAGATTTTTGAAAATTTCGCAACAAGGACAGTAGAGTCACAGAGGAGGTGAAGGTAAATTGAAATATCAAGAGGAGAGGGGGTTCATGGTTAGAATATTTCTAAGGAAGCTAAAAATGAATAGATTTGGGATGTGATATAGCTACGTTGTAGTGATAATCAAATTATTCATCTGCTTGGGGTAGCTGGTAGATAGAGTTTGCCTTTGGGACTTCAGTGGTACAAAAAAAGCAATCTGCAGTGGCGGGCTCCATCATGAAGCTACTTCAGATCTACAGTCTAGGATCCCATAATGTTGCTGCTGAGGGACAGAGAAATCAAGACCTGGTTTATGTTAAAATGTCAAAATTAAAGAGGCTCATTACTGAAAATGGAAAAAATACTTGTTTGAAGACTAAGGGTGATAGACTCGAGTAGAGGCTCTACTACAGTGTAGAACAAATAAAAGAAAAGACATGCACCTTTTACAACTACAGAAGAGACTCTTTTGGTGTCAGTATAGACTTTAAAATGCAAAAATGTATGACATTTTGGGAGACTACACATTAAGTATTCCAAAAAAAGATAAAATAAACACTCCAAGCACCATAACCACTACATAATTCTGAAGTAGTTATGGTGTCAAGGGTGCCCTAGTTGCACCCATTTGGAAGCTTATGCATAGGAGAACAGTAACACCATGCTTAGAGAATTAGAAGCTTGGCCTTAGGAACTAAGAAACCTGTTCTAAGCTAAGCTCTGAACCTCCGAGCTTAGTTTAGAGCTTTTGGCTGCAGTGGAGGCATGGAGTGGCACCCTGCAGACCATTCTAAAATGGTTTGACTATTAAAGGGAGTTCGCAGGACACTTTTGGCTTCACAAAGTATAGTGTGCTATAATGATTATGGAGTTTGGAGTGTTCCTTTAAATATCCTAAATAATACATTCTTAGGCCAGGCTGAAAATGAAGGGCTGTATATATGAGATCATAAGAGCCCATTGCGGTTTTTTTTAAAATCTGAGATGTGTGAATGTACTTGTGAAAATCATGGACACAGAATCTTTATTTCCTTTAAAGCTTTATCAGATTTGCAAAAGTTTGACCTGAACCCGACATATGCCTTCTTAGAAGACACATTTGGAATGCCTTTTCAGAAATCTGGAAACCTTATGGCGTTTAAGAAATACTGGCATGGTCTTGCCAATGGCTGTAAAGATTTTTTTGTGACCTCTTTCAAACAGACTTACAAGTATATGAATCTAGTAAAAATAAGAAATATAAAGAATTCAAGTTATGCTCGGAAACCAATCTGTAATGTGAAAATCACCATTTCACATACTTTTGGAGAGGATCCTTCATGGGATCCTGGATTATGATTTAGGAAATAAAATCTTTGAGAATTGTTATGTTATCAATTTACACCACAATCAAGGAATATTGATTTTAAGTAAATTCTGTATGGTTCTCGGATCCTGCTAGACTTAGTTATATTGAGCCAGGTCTTTCTCCTCTGTGCTGTAGTGCTAGTGGTTGCAGAAGCACATACTGTCCTATGTGGTGGACATTTGGGGAGTTTGCTAATTATGGGAGAGTGTCTTTGCACTTCTTAACCATTTTCATGGCTTATTTATGATTTCTGATCTTATACTGACCCTCTTAAATAGTACCCCTTCTGCTACACGACTATGGTGTCCTGATTAAAATTATGCCATAAAGTTTGTACTGTGTCCCATATTTGTTTTTCCTATAGGTGAAAAAACTGTTTCTGATTTTGATATGCTGCTGAGAAAAAATAGTTTTGTGTACAATATGGAAGAACTCCCTGATCATAACAAGATTTTGTTATATTGGAAGGAATATTTAAATTGTTCTTCACTCAAGTGACACAGTATGGTGGAAAGCCAAATTTGAGTATTCATTTGTGGATGCAACCCAACCTAATCTAAACCCCCATCCCCATCTAATTTTTTCTTCTTCTCTATTTTCCATACACTTCTGATGTTTAAAATCTTCTTCACTCATATCACACAGTATAATGGAGGGTAAATGTTTAGTCTTTGATCATATACACACCCCAAGCCAATACAAACTCACATTCCAACCCCTTTTTAAAATTTCTGTTTGGGGAGGTTTCAAGTTTTTTGTTTCTGGTTAGAGGTTATAAGTTTAATATAATGTAAAAGAGACAGAGGGTATGATTGTTTAATTTTTTTGGACTAGCTTTTGTATTTTTTTGTATTTTGTATTTTTGATCTATTTCTCCATTATTCTTTATCAATAAAAATTATTATTTTTTTTAATTGTCAGGTTATGAGTATTTCACTGGGAACCTGTTGACCAAAAATTTCCCTTTTTAAATTTTATACAACGGATCTCAAGAACAGTTGACATTCAGGCATTTCAGAAAGCAGTAGGTACAATTCCACCGTAGCCATTGCTCACTTTATGGGATCTTCAGTCAGTCCATTCCAAACTAATGCAATACATATTTCCATATTCTGGTATCAGGGGTATATATGATTCTATAATTGGTATGCAGATTGCATCCGTGGAGCTTGATAAATGGAATAGAGGAGCCTTCTACTTGGAATAATGAGCCGACACCATGTTGATGGATGGGGAAATGAAAGAGAGGAGAGTCATTTGGGAAAGGGGACAGGGGTAGTCAGTAGAAATATAAAATTACATACATGTATATTTCTAATGAATTCCATCTCTTTTGTCCTTTTAGTCCTTTATTTTGCACAACCGTCATTTTTTTCCCTAGGTCTGCCTTCTTTTTCTGTCCACAATTTTCTCTGTTCCTGACAGGTCATTTATTTTCCTTTTTATGCTTTGTAATATTATTATTTTTTAATTTCCACCTTCTACATATTTTATTTTTTTCTTCCACTGTACTTCCATTCATCACTTTCTTTCTTCTTACCCAGCTCCACTCACACCTTCTTAGTTTAATTTTTCCTTGAAGGGATAGTTTGATGGAAGCGACCTCGAGTTTTGATGAAGTGTTAAAGCGCAAGAGAAAGAATTAACCTAGAATCACAGTTCATTAGCTGTATGGCTCCTGGCAGTAATTCTACCTGATATTAATTATATAGTAGGAATTAATTGGTGTACACTTTGCTACAGCTTCAATCAATGCTAAATCCAACAAATACTGTATATAAAATGAGACGCTGTCAGAATCTGTGCCATTTGCAATGGATCATTCCGAGACGGAACCCTGATGTGTTTACAGGTTATACCTACCTGAATACCTGATGCACTAAAATTGGTTCCAAGCACATGAAAGGACTTTTATGCAATTACTTATATACTACTTATTACTTACACTCAGGGACCTCTTTGGTATGTACAATTGTCTAATGCTGGGTAAGATCCTCCAGTACAGAATGCAATTCTTCCAACAGTTTGTTGGAAACATTAATTTGTTCCTTGATTCTGGTCCTTGTTGATATGATATCATCAGGAAGGTTCTGCAGGTTGTCGGCAGTTTATTTATGCCATGAGTCTTATCTTCCACCATATGCTAAAGGGATTGTATTTTATATCTGATGACTTGGATGATATTGGAGTATGCTGATCTCTTTGCCTTGGAACCATCTTGTGCTAATGTGTGCTGTTGACATGACATGTCATCCTGCCATATACTTCAATAGGCAGGAGAATTTTAAAACCCACAGGGACTCTTTCTGGCCACAATAGTGATGGAAAAGTTATTTCAAGGGGACTAACACCTGGACTGTGGCATGCCGGAGGGGGATCCATGGCAAAACTCCCATGGAAAATTACATAGTTGATGCAGAGTCTGGTTTTAATCCATAAAGGGCATAAATCACCTAACATTCCTAAATTGTTTGGAATAACGTGCTTTAAAACATCAGGTATGATGTTGTATCGATCAGGTAGTGTAAGGGTTACGCCCGCTTCACAGTGACAGACCAAACTCCCCGTTTAACGCACCGCAAACAACCGCAAACAGTCCATTTGCACAACTGCAAACTCCCCATTTGCACAAGGTTGGATGCCGAGCTACTCATGTCCTGTTTTCCTCGTCCTCAGTGATCCCCACTGTTCTTCTTCTCTTCTAGCGGGCACCCACGTGACATCCACGGATGCATCGTCATCATCAACCGCTTCACTTGTATCTGACAACTCAGCAAAGGAAGCAGCAGCGGGTACAACATCATCATCATCACACCGTTCGTCTATGTGTTTAATGCTGCCTGACTGAGATATATCCCTGTTATCTACATCCTCTGGCAATAATGGTTGCGCATCACTCATTTCTTCCAACTGATGTGTAAATAACTCCTCTGACATACCAAGTGAAGCTGCTGTGGTGCTAGTGTTGGTGGTGGCGGCAGGCGGGCGAGTGGTAACTTGAGAGGTGCCCGAAGCTAAGCTGGAGGAGGATGGTGCGTCAAGGTTCCGAGCGGAAGCTGTAGAAGATTGGGTGTCCTGTGTTAGCCAGTCAACTATGTCCTCAGAACTTTTTGAGTTCAGGGTACGTGGCCTCTGAACACTGGGCATTATTCTAGGGCCAAAGGGAATCACAGCACCACGACCACGACGGCCCCTGCGGGGTGGCTTGCCTCTGCCTGTCATTTTTTTTTCCGATTAGTGGTACTATGCGTGCAAGCTACTGTAACAACAAATATGAGTGGCACTGTGCAGTAGCAGAAGTTGGCA